TAATGAAATAAGACATTTACAAACCTCACATTTTACAAATTTAGAAATAAAAAACCCAAAGTAATAGAAAAATTACGCAAAAATGGTGAAACATAGGTGATAAATAGGTAAAGGTACAAGGTTAAAACAAGAGCTCACTGTGCGATTTTAATCGGGTACAAGTTGTCGGATTTCCTTTTGCCATTTGCCATATGGGTTTACTGCCCCTTCGTCCCCCCTAATGCCCCCAAACTTTAAGCGTTTTAACAATTGAATTTCTAATAGGCTTACCACCTCGTTTTTTTTTCTTCGCTCTGCATGGCATCGAAAAACATTTAAATTTAATGGCAGTGGCTTGTACGCTTTATAGAGTGGAATATGGACAAAAGGGAGAAGCGGGGGGCTTTAACTGCCTTTATAGCATTCCCAGAAAATGGAAGCAAAGACCTCAAAATCATTAAATTGTTGACTTCTTTTTTTGTGGTGATATATTTATATACTTTTTTTTTTTGATTTTTTTCCAAAGTGTAAAGTGACCATTAAGGGCTCCACACACGCACGCTTTTGGAAAAAAAACCCCATCCAAGATCTGTAATTAAGTTTTGTTTGTCTCATCTCGGGTTATTTTGGCCTCTCTGTTAATTGAATTAAATTTTAATTTGTTAAACGAATTAAGAGTCGCGGCATGACGTCAAGTGCACATTCTTTTTCGAGGGATGGAGCAGGTCAAAGCACCTCAACCCTATCTACCCCATAAAAGATAAATATACATACATATGTGGTACTTGTAGATACACAGATAAAAATGACATCGGTTTCAATAAGATATTGACAGGTAAACTTATATTCTTACGATGGATGTATCTTTTTTTTTTTATATGGATGGATGTATCTTTTTTTAGGTCGAATAATATAAAACTAAATCGTATTTTACAATTGCGAAGCAAGCCCTGCATATAAATCATATTATTGTGATAGTAAATTTGAAATTTTGTTCTTTCTACATATTAAAAACAAAAAAGATTTGGTTTCAATGATCCGAAAAATGTTCATTTCATATCAACTTTATTTCTGTGTAAAAAGAGTGCTATGGGATCGCTTTAACTGGGGCGCTATGTTTGCCGGGATGTTTGCGCACTTTATCGGTATGGCGGACGAGAACCTGACCAACCCATCATGACAAATGCGGTTCCAAAAACTACATGGCATAATTATGAATGTGTTTCAGTCACAGCGATATGTGAAATGAGTCGAGCTTGAGATATATTTTTAAAAAATAACATTTTTTTTAGAATGAATAAAACAAAATTTTTTTGAATAGGAATAAAACCCATGATTGTGGATTTAAATGCGTCAAACTTTTAAGTTGATTAGTCAGACCAAAATTGTATTAAGGCATTATTATCTTCAAAGCTTAGTCCACATAATCACTTCCTTTGTGGGCAGACTTCTACTAAATGAAAGCCTTAACACACAGTCGTGAAATTTATTTTCATAAATTAAAAACAAATGGCTTGCAGCACGGAAACGAATGTTGAATAAATTATTGTTCACTTCTGGTTGCTTAATTGTGGTACCTCAAATAGAATGCAAGAAGAATGTAATCCATCGTATATTATGCCGGAGAAAGCTCTTTTCCTGCCCCTCGAACACACCCAATCCATTTAATTTACATTTCTATCTGCCACTTCTGCCACCTCTTCGACTTCTTCCTATTTTCCCCACATTGCATTCCGTTGGCACGCACAATTTCGCTTAGTTTTTGAATGAGTTTTGTCTTTGGGGCATATCTTTCCTCGACTCTCGCATTTTAAATGTAATTTCGTTGCGTAATAGGGCGTCGCAGGGGGCGTGGCAGTCGGAGGTGCGATGACTACTGGCCCTTTACTTCACGCATACGCTTAACACACTTCTCTGCCCGCATTTTCTATGCAAACAAAAGCCAGAGCAGAGCTCTCAGCGAAACGGAATGCGTGCCAAATGCGAATTGTAAAGCCTACACAGAAAGAAAAGAATATTTACTTTAAAGTGTGTTTTTTTGGCGGATGCAAATTGCAAGGAACGTTTAAAGTGCTTAGAAAGCAAAGAATATCCAATGGAATACTTTTCTTAAAACAGAAGACGCAAGATTCTGATTCAGACCATTTTAGATTCAGATCATTAATTGCAGATTATACTGGCTTTATTTTAAAGACCCACAACTTGAGAATGGGCTTTTAAATATAAATATAAATATATATATATATTTTTTTTTTGTGCATAGAAGAGGGTTAGTTGTTTGGTAGGGAGGAGTAGCATTTTACCCGGGGGACATGGGAGTACGACGCGGTCGCAACTCTTAGCACGATGGCGTTAATTGCTGGACGCCAAGTACGCGGCTCGCAAACAAAACGAACTCCAATGTTTTTTTCCCATACTAAGAGGGACCACACAATTGAGACACATTTGCTTTGGCAATTTCTTGCTCGGCTGCCGTAACTGGAACGCCGGTAGCTAATTGCTTGCGATATAACCAGCCAAACTAATGGCATCTATTCACTATGCTTTTCAGGACTACAATGGCGAATGCCCCTACTCGCTGTCACCCGTCAGCGCCAAAAGTCAGAAGCTGTTGCGATCGCCTCGCAAGGCCACACGCAAGATCTCGCGCATACCCTTCAAGGTCCTGGATGCTCCGGAGCTGCAGGACGACTTCTATCTGAACCTGGTCGACTGGTCGTCCCAGAATGTGCTGGCGGTGGGCCTGGGCAGTTGTGTCTACTTGTGGAGCGCCTGCACCAGTCAGGTGAGTCCTTCGAAGGGAGAAATCCGCTGCAGGCCACGTACTCATGCTCCAATTAGGCCGAATCAAATAACGTATAAAACGAATATCTCTAAAAAGTGTTGCTCAAAAAATTTGATTGTATTTTGGTTGGCATGAATACGTACCCTAAATTAAACACCAAACAGGACGGCCAACTAATGAATTCTCCTCCTTGAATTAGGTTACCCGCCTGTGTGATCTCAGTCCGGACGCGAACACGGTGACCTCGGTGTCGTGGAACGAGCGTGGCAACACCGTGGCCGTGGGCACCCATCACGGCTACGTGACCGTCTGGGATGTGGCGGCCAACAAGCAGATCAACAAGCTGAATGGCCACTCGGCGCGCGTGGGTGCGCTGGCCTGGAACAGCGACATCCTGTCGAGTGGATCGCGTGACCGCTGGATTATCCAGCGGGATACGCGGACACCGCAGCTGCAGTCGGAGCGACGATTGACCGGACATCGGCAGGAGGTGTGTGGACTGAAGTGGTCGCCGGATAACCAGTACTTGGCCAGCGGGGGCAATGACAACCGGCTGTATGTGTGGAATCAGCACTCGGTGAATCCCGTGCAGTCCTACACGGAGCACATGGCGGCAGTGAAGGCGATCGCCTGGTCCCCGCATCATCACGGACTCCTGGCCAGCGGCGGCGGAACGGCGGACAGGTGCATTCGATTCTGGAACACGCTGACGGGACAGCCCATGCAGTGCGTGGACACGGGGTCGCAGGTGTGCAATCTGGCCTGGTCCAAGCACTCCTCGGAGCTGGTCTCCACGCACGGCTACTCGCAGAACCAGATCCTGGTCTGGAAGTACCCCTCGCTGACGCAGGTCGCCAAACTGACGGGTCATTCGTATCGAGTGCTCTACTTGGCCCTGAGTCCCGATGGCGAGGCCATAGTCACAGGCGCTGGCGACGAGACGCTGCGCTTCTGGAACGTTTTCAGCAAGGCACGCAGCCAAAAGGAGAACAAATCCGTGCTGAACCTGTTTGCCAACATCAGATAAGGACAATAATCCAAGGACCGAAGACTGAGCGAGGCGCCAAAGGCAACACAAAAACACAAGAAAACTAAAAACTAATACCAACAATCAACCAACCAGCAAACCAAGCAGAAAGCCTAAATTCTATATATATATACAAACGATCCTTGTTCACCAGTCGTTAGTAAATTTTAGTTACCAACAGCAGCAATAGTTTAAACAAATTTAAGTTAAGTATCTCTGTATAGAACGGTTATTAGCAACATTTATGTAGGAAAAAACATGAAATTTATGAAGAAAGAATAACATTAATTGTGGCTGAAACAAGAACTGAAAACTAAGTCTACATAGGCCCATATATGAATATGGAAGTTGTAACTAATTGGAACACAACAATACGCAAACACACACACACACCGTAATCTACACTATATGTAACCGAAATTTTTTGTTGCTTTTCTAAACATGTATTTTTTTTAGTGCACTACACTTAAGGCAATTGATACATATATATATTTTTTTGCTAGCCTATAAGTAACTAACTTTATTTCAGGCAATCATTTAACTCCTTTCACACTCATCAAAAAACACACTATGTATATTAAATAAATTTATACAATTTCAAATGTGCCCCAAAAAGAATGCTTTGTTTTTCGTTCTTGGGGCTTAGTGGAGTTTGAAACCGCGATACGGTGAAGCGGTTTTGGGGCCTAGTTGAGACTCGATCCAAACGAAGACTCAATCCACCTGCCTGTTTTGCACTTTTTGGGTTTTTTTTGCATCTTTGATTTCGATTTTGCACTGGTGGTCGTGGGCGTTTTCAGGGGCGTGGACAATAGGTGTTGTACAAATTAAAGGGGATGAGGTTTTAAAATATTTAAGGTTTTACTAGATACATTTTGTTTTGATATAAAATTACCAAGTCTAAAATTTTAAATGATCTAAGTAATAAAATTTCGTATTTTTCATACATATGGTAAAATAACTTATTATCAGAGTATTATTTTATAAAAACATTTAATTAAGTATAGTTGATGATTTTATTCATTAATTTAGTTCAGATTAGTTTACGAGTTTGTTTAATAATTTTTGTATGTCCAAAACCCCAAAAACTGCGCCTCTGGATGGTTTGCAGCTTCCGTCGGTGAGCTTCTAGTCCGGCTGTTTTGTGTTGTTGTAATTCGGTTTCTTGGCCTGGCTCTCTGCTTTTCAATTTGTTGGTGTTTTTTTTGTTCATGTCATTTTTTCTTGTCTTTTTTTTTGGTTTTTGGCCAAGTCCAAGTTTAACAGCGCTCGACGCGCCAGAATCAAGTTCAGTTGCGCCGCAAACGCGTCGCGGAAATGTTTCGCTGCTGGCCACCGTCCCAAAGAAATCGAAATTGAAATCCATAAAACGACCGCGCCGCCGTCCTGCATCCAAAATTCCCTTAAATAAAATCCATCATCTTTGCCAACCGTTAAAAAACTAGTAAAAAGCAATAGACCAAAACTAAACAACTTTCCGCGTAATATTTCTACTTATTTTCCCCTACCGTTCTCAGGTAAAAATTTGAGTTTTTTTTAATGTTTTTAATGTGAAGTGCGTACAGTTGTCCTTGCCGTTCTGTTATGGTTTTTCCTGCTGCCTTTTGAAGGTCACTCACGCACGAAGGCCGCGCCCATTGGGCGATGGGGGCGTAAGGGGAAGGGGGCGGGACACTGGGCCAAATGTCAAAAGGTGAAGGCAGCCAGGCGGCCTTGGGATTAAAGCACAGCTTTTCCTGCCAAGTGTAAAAGTGAAAGTGACGGCAAATTGAAATTAAGAATATCCTTAAAGGAAAAATACGGATCACGCATCAGAAATTGTAGTCTATAATTCTTAAATATCAATTTTGGGGAATAATTAAATACAATGGTGATTAATTGCTGACTAATTGGCAATCAATCATTTGATATTTTCCCTTTAAAGAATTCAACTTACGAATTATGTTCTTAAATAAAGCTTCAATTACCTTGATTTTGGAACGTAGATGGATAACGAAATAATTTGCACAATTAATGATATAGTTTCTTTTTCGTAATATATAAATCTCTAATTAGAAACGGCTTAATTTGTTATTTCCCAGAAATTAATTAGAACTACCTTGTAAATTAAATTAGTTAGATGCTTGTTATTGAGATTTGAAAATGGTTTTTTGATGGTTTATGATAGACATAAATGGCTTGGAAATTAGAATTTCAAGATGCAACTTCCAGATGTGATATCTCTCAAGATCTCTCCCTGAAGAGGTGATGAAATGCAGCACTCAGGCACCCCACCCAAATGTCCCAAAAAGAACCTCTTGACATTTTTGGCCATCATTTGCATGTCAAACACACTTCTCTTCGCCAGTCGGATTTTTGTGGACATATCTAACTGGCAACTTGGTTAAATATTTGAGTGGTCGATAGGCAAGATCTACCCATCGTTTTTTTTTTCGCACATCCGATGCCTATCCGGGCATTACCTCGACAAGCCGTGAAATTTGCTCAGCGATTAGCACACGTGGATTGGGGTGTACGGGAAGGTCAGTGGTTCTCGACCGTTTTCGCCAATTGCGAAAGTCAACAATATGTTCTTGACTAACTTCCGATCGGTTTTGGAAAGCCTCCCCCACCCCCACCACTCTTAAGACCGCATATCCCCCAGATTTAAAAAGACGCTTCCTCTATTTCAGGCAATTAACGCCTTCGCTTTCGGTTTGGTTTTTAGTTTCAGTTTCTGAGGCTCCGATGGTACTATGACTATCTTTTGTCTTTCGACCTTGGGAGGGGAGTGGGTTTTGGGGGGGAGGGGGCGTTCAATGACCGGCACTGTCCACTTACCTTTATGCATATATTGATCCCCCTTTCGATCGATCTATCCACAAGACAATGACAAGCCTCTATTTGCCTTTGATTGCCCCTAATTCGATCGATGGCACCACCTTATGATAACTTTCCAAAATATTATGCTTCTGAAAAATAAGATATCGAAATGGTTTAATCTTTTCCAGATGGCTCTAATTTATGATCTTGCATTTATGAGGAGTTTATGGGGTGGTTTATTATCTATGTATATTTTATAACGCTACACATACATTACATACATACCTTTAGATAAGACTATACCAATTTTAATGGGAATTTCCTTTCTTATTAGGAAAGAATACAAATAATAATATTTAATAAATTGCAAAGGAATATGAAAATAGCAGGAATATAGAAATGACAAAGAAAAGGTAGGAATGCAATAAAAATTCCTATGACATCTATACCTTCTATGTTATACATATAATTAAACTCAACAATGGCAGATGTTAAAGGTAGAAAACATATCGATTTTCGTATAGAATAGCGGGTTAAATGTGGCTGTGGCTCGGTGCGTATTCTGCACTTAAACTTGACCCCATTTCCAGGGGACAAGGACGGAGCTTCCTTTATGAACGGGGCACGTCGGAAGGTCTGCTCTGCGGCAATTACAGCGATTATCAGCGATATAGTGTTTGTGACAGTCCGGCAATTACCACGTTTCAAACTGGGGCCCCAAAACCCACGACGAGGGGCCTTTTTTAAGGGAGGGGATTACAACTTGTTATTGTGGCTTTTAAGAACCAGCGTTTCCATCTGCAGCGTGACATTCAAAATGCAAACGAACCGCAAAACCAGTTTTCGGATGCGTCCAAGTGAAGGGCTTCATCATGAAAAAAGTACATATATATATAGATATACAATCCAAAAACAGGAGATCGTTGATTGATGATCTGATCTGTGGATCCAAGACACGCCTGTTGACGCAGAAGATTTTAGTAGACATATCAAAGTTCAAGCTTCGACCAAGGTACAGATTTCCCCGGGGGTTTTATGGCCCCCGAAAAAAAAACAAGTGCTACAGTAAAACCTCCATTACTCTGGTCACAATTGTCCAAGTAAGGAATCCAGTTATATAGCCTTTGAATTACTGGCACTTATATCGTAAAAAGTCTTGAACAAATCGTTTTTTAATTGCCAGGGATCATAAAAGGCGATTTGGGCCTTATATTTTTACCTGCACCTCTTTTATTAAAAGTTATTTTGTGAAAAGAATAACTTTGGTTTCCAAAATTCTTGAAAAGTATTTAAGTTTAGATGGCTTAAAATACGATTTGCATTAGATATAGTTGTGTTTTAAAATAGAAAATTCTAAGTAAAATATTTTAGTTTCATTCTCCTAAGATAATTAATAAGTTATTAACCATTTTTTAAATCGTTTGTTATAAACGAGGTTTATAGAATGACATTTGGAATAGGCTTAACAGAGATTTTATATCTTATTTTCTTGACCGTATGTGTAGGAAGCTTAGAAGTTTGACTGATTTGATCCGAAGTTGATCTCTTTCTGCTGAGTGACAGCTTAAAGCTAAAGTTATAGTATCTATAAACGGTTTAAGTATCCGTTTTTTTCCGAATTTATTTGGGAGTTGGGTCATTGTACTTGTGGTTTATAAGCGAACTCGGTTCGCTTTTGACTTCCAACTTTGTTTTCGTTTTCTTCTGCAACTGGCGTCTGAACGACCGAAAAGACTGGCTTATTATACCATGAAATTAAAAAGCATTGACATTGAAAATTATGCGAACAACGGAGATCGAATTTATCTGAATTTGAAAAAAGAAGATGGCTTATGTGTTTGCACAGACTGACGTACGTACGTTCACCGATATTTAGAATGGAATGGTGTGGTAATTGATTACCAATTGTTGTCACTTGTCGGTTCGAATTATCGATGCGAATTGCGATCCATAAATAAACATTAATAACATAAAAGAGACAATTGATCTGCGGGCGAAACAATTCGCCAATGGAGTGACAGCCAAGTTCACCCGTTGACAAGGGGCAAGGCTCCACCGCTGTCTTTTCCCAGGGGCGTAGTCTTTAGTCTCTTTTTTTGGGGAGGGGAAACCTCCCAATCAATCGGCACTATCAATAACATGTCGAACTTAATTTTTTAACATGTATCTTTGTCTTTTGGACACATGTTTCTACCGGCTTGCAATTTATTTTCCTTTGGGACATTTTTAAGCCCTAGTAATATTTTTTCTTTTCGACAGAATAAAGTTTGGATACCTTCATACAAATGTGTCTTATAATACTATTTTATCTGTGATTCTTCCTTTAACCCCCTGCCACGCCCCTGGTCCATTATTGCTTTCTCTGTCTGGCAGACAAATGGCCCCCATCTTTCTTCCTCGCACTCACCTTGAGTTCCAGAATTCTCACGCTCTTGTTACAATAAGAGTGACAGGGATGACACTTTTACCCCCATACCTTCCCATCCCCTCCCCCCACACGCACAGTGGGACAAATGAACAGTTGTGCAAACAACATAAATAATACTCATGTAGGTGTCATCATTAATTATTCTCGCACTTTACAAGTGAAACGTGATGGGTAAAATTGTTCCTTGGCCTGGCATTAAAAGTAACCAAATAATAACGTGAAGTAAACGTCAAGAAAAGTATTTATTTTTTCTCATTCATTTTATTTTGATTTTGACTAATTAACAGAGTTGGCCGGCCGGTGACCTTCACCTTTTGCGAGTTGGCCAAAAGCCGAGGTGGATGGCAAAGAGGAGAAGCAAAAGAATTGGTAACAAGCTGACGCCTCCACCTTCAACTGACCCACAAAAAAGCGGCGCCGCTCTTCCTGACTGTTTATTCATTTTTATTTTACCATTCGAAATTTTTTTTCTTTTTTGTGTGAAGAGCGACTCTTGGGGTAGGTCACTATCTTCCCTCCCCCTCACCAATACCTCACCTAATACCGTTCGTTCGTAAGCCTTTTATTTTGCAAATTGCTTTGGTTGTCTTCTTTTTTTATCTTTGCCCACGATCATTTGTTTTGCGCTGCCTTTTGTTTTGATCGTTGGCTTTACAGTGGTACAAGAGGAAATCGGTGAAAAATTATTATTAAAAATATTTTTTTTATGTTATGATCAATTATTTTTGTGTGTGACATTCAAAAAAACCATTTGCATGTCATAAAAACGTCTAACGATTAGATTTCTTTTATGATTCGCGATGACTAGGCTACTTTAGGGCTTGGATATACCTATGTTTATAGAATTCAACAGAATCCACACATTTCTTTTTCATAAATCGCCAGTATAGTTAATGTTGTTAAGTTCTAAGTGAAAAACTCCTATGGTTTTGCCTCTTTAATTTTAAATACTATGATTTTGAACCTTATTGATATTGTAAATGTCCTAGAGCAAAACGAAAACCTCAAAATTGTATTTGTTATTCCCTGTCAAATTTTAAAACATAAAATGGAAGGAAATTTACATTTCCAATATTTTATTTTCGGTAAATGAAACTATATTGAAACATGATCGAAATATCAGTTTTTGTTCACTGTATCTGCAGCATAACAACATGCCATTAAAATGGTAATTTGATAATATAAAAAAATTGATTATCATAACAAAATGTCAAGTTTTGTTATTCAAACATAGAGATGTTACTGATATAGTTTTGGATGATATCTGTTAAAAGATTCATATGATTTTTGAATGTGACAATATTGTCGCGACAGAATGGAATGGAAGTTATGGACCCCAGGCCACTGTGCACAGTTATGGATATTTGATTCTGTTTGTGGCCAGAGGTCATATACGCGGTCCATAGAAATGCAAAATTCGAGTTGCTAATGATGGCCCACATATCATACCACATACCCTCATACCATATCGCCTCATTATCGCGCCGTCAGTTCAGCCAAGCAGATCCTAAGCATCGGTCCCGCCCCTTCCTTCTCTATAATCCATATGTAGATACAAATATGTGTATATGTATGGGTCTGAAATCTGATCCGAATCTTCTTGTATTTCCGATTCCAGTTGGCGCCATGAGGGAACCCTTTCCCGTGGTGGTGCTGCTGCTCCTTTGGCTCGGCTCGGCGGTGCCACCCACTTCTGGATCGGCGGTACTCATCTCCGACATGACCATGAGCGTTATGGTGGAGCTATCGTCCCGACATCCCTTCTGCAAGATGCACACAGATCGGTGAGTCCTCGAGAAATGTTGACCCCAAATTTGTTATTACAAAATATTATACTGATATTAAAACTTTAATTTTGAATTTAAGATAAGCTAACACTAATGATCTTAAAATGATCAGATTGATATTTCTGACTTTATAAGTTATGAAACTTAAAGTGTTTTCTTCAAAAAGAATTAAATAACTCCATTCCTAACTCCGAAAAGGACTTTCTTATTTTGAGAACGTCCTTTGCTTACTTCGATGAATAAAAAAAAAGGGTTTTCAATAAACCTTAAAAACTTTACAAGCCTTATAATCTTATAAAAAAGTGTAGCTTTTAAAAACAAATTAATTTTTAGTTCATTCTTTATGTTTAATATCAATCAATAAATTGATCAAAATTAAATGAAACACTTGTCTTCTCTTAAAGAACTAACTATTATCTTTATATGTACTTATGTATGTTCTGTATGAACCAATGGATTAAAAATGAAAATAAAACACAATTGTTGGCTGAAATAACTAATTGTTGTGCGAATTTTATTAGATTTAATATTATATTAAAATTCCTGTCCTTCTATATTAATTAATGGATCAAATTTGAATTAAATATATATTTCTCCTGCTGGAAGTACTGATCATATGCCTTTTCCCCCAGCGGCGATATCCAGCGCATGTTGCTGCAGTCGGATCCGCGTCGCATCCGCCAGGTGCCGCGGGAGTCGGTGATGGAGCTGGAAGAGGTGTGTCGCCGCCAGGGATCCTACGGCCACGAGTTCCGCGGCGGACTGGGCTTCATCTATCCGGGAACGAAGTGGTGTGGTCCGGGCACGGCGGCCACCAGCTACGACGACCTGGGGGCGCACTCTCGCGAGGATCGCTGCTGCCGGGAGCACGACATGTGCCCGGATGTCCTCAATGTGGGCGAGTGCAGGCGGGGATTGTGCAACCGGGGCACCTTCACGAGGAGCCACTGCGATTGCGATGCCCGCTTCCGGCGATGTTTGCAGGCAGCGAATACGGAGACGGCCAACACTCTGGGCGCCATTTTCTACAACGTGGTCCAGGTGACGTGCTTCCAGGAGCGGAGTCCCTGCTCGGCGCACCAGAGGTTCGAGGACTTCTACTACCGCACCGACCACTGTCCGGCGGAGTTCCGGCAGGCGGACCTCTACGTGCCCCCGCACGGGGACAACCTGATAGCCAAGATCCTGGCCCATCCGCAGGGCCGGGCCCTGGCCGCTCCCCCCTTCAGTCCCGCCAAGTCCACCGCCCGTCGCTGGGGCGTCAAGCTGGCCAGCGTGGGCCTGGCGGCGGTCAACATCCTGCGGGAGGTGGTGCAGCGTCCCCGGCTCCTGTGGGACAGCCTGCAGGCCCCCGTCAGCCGGGAGCTGCCCTCGTCCAGATACCAGGAGGGCTACCACTACGAGCGGCCCGGGCCCCCGTCCTACGGATACGGCTATAATGGTCGCGGCTACGGGGGCTTCGACTCCCCCTGGAGCTGATCCCGGGAGCTGGAGTTACGATAGCCCCCAAGGGGTCTGTCGATTTTGCTGGTTTCCAAATATTTTCAAAGGTAGGAGAGTGATCTGTAGAAAGTTATGGCTAACGATGTCGTAGGAACTACTATAGGCTATGGGTCAAAAATAGTCAAGGGTTAGTTGTATTTATCAAGTTTGGACTATAGTTGGAAGGATAAAAACATATTTTGGTAATTTTGTGGTTTCCAAATATTTTTTAAAGGTGGGAGAATAATTAAATGATGGTAAATAATGTGTTTTGAAGTTAAATGGGTTTTTTAAAAGCTTTAAAGAAAAATTTGATGGTATCCAAACATTTTAAAAAGTCGGAGAAAAACTTAAAAAAATCTGGGGTAATAATGGGTTTTATTTATTTTCATTAATTTAAATAGGGTTTTATTCGAAGTTAACAGAAAATGTTGAATCATATTAAAAGATTAATATAGGGTATCAAATCAAGTAAAATGGGAGCATAACAAAGTAAAACGAAGGTTTATGTTTAAAATAAAATAGGGTTAAATAACACAAAGAAAAGTATTGCTATTTTTAAGATTCACTTCATATTTAAATTTTGAAAAAGAAAACAAAATTATATTTCTACTTGATTTGCCAAAGAAAAACACATACATAGGGAACCTAAAAACCTTTTTTTACATCCGCAATGTATCGCCCACTTAATTCCAGATTGTCGTAAGACAGAAAACGTGATTTTCAAGTTAATGATAAAAAGATATCTCAGTTGTATCCTGCTTTATATTCTGTTAAAGTTCCATTACTTTAGTTGTTTATTATTCTGGAAAAGTTTCATTATCATAGTCTTACCATCTTCATGTGAAAAGACAATAAGTCGTATTGTTCTTATGGAAAACGCATATAAATTGAATACTTTAAATGGTTTTTTTTGCCAGAGTTCCTTTGTGAGAAAGTCTTCATGTAGACTACCAAAACTCTTATAAGATTTGTGTTCTTATAAATTATGGGGTATATTAGAGATAGGCTTAATGTTTTTTTTGTTTGGGTAACATAACTTTTGCTTTTTTACTTTTTTGGGGAGATTAATCTTAAAACTAGTTTGGTATTTTTTTCAAGACATCGTTCAGGATGGGAGATTTAAGTGAATATTGGTTTTTCATTTCCAAAGAAATATTATGTCTGCATAATATTTAAATCAGAGGGAACTATCTAGGAAAAGATAGGAAAAGATTGCTCTCCAGCCTGGTAACTAGTTGATAAACCGAAAATCGACTCGCCGCACTGTCCCCGTCTAGTATTAGTAGTCATAAGTTGCAGTTCCACTAGTCCTAGCCACCTAGCTGCATGTGCGATTGCCATTAATGTTCTGCATGTCCCGTGTTCACTAGTTCAATAGTCCACCAGTTCATCCATAGTTATGTATGTACAAATAAATTCACTGAGAATCGCATGCCTGCGCTCTTCCTTTTCCGGTTGATTCGATTAGAGCCGGATACAACCAGACGGAGCAGGAGGCCATCTGCGCCCAGTGGCAGTACCAGCCGTCGGAGAAGTATGTGCCCAGCCAGCCGAGGACCTCCTCCTAAAGATGAGACGTTGACGACCTGGACTAGCTCATGGACTCATGGAAACGGTTACAAATCTACAAGGCATTAGCATTAGCATTAGCTTATCCAATAGCTATAGTTATCCTCGATTGCAATTCCTAAACCTGAACGAAAGCCAAAGATTAAAAACAACCGCACGGAACTAGATGGGAAATATATAAATATATATATTTTCATATATTGAACGCATACAAAACAGATCTATATATATACATACAAAGACGTACATTTAAATAAATATATTTACCATGATCAGAGCAATGGAGTGTTTTCCTGCAACCACAAGGTGAAGTAGTGATATCGAAATTCAATCTGAATAAGCCGAAAAGTCCTCAAATGTACATAATCCCCAGCCATTGATTATTTTAATTAAAATTGCACACTTATTTCCATTTTGATCTTTATCTTTTGTAAAGAACTTCTCTATTCGACTTTATTCTTTTCCTTGTTGTTAACTCTTAGCGTCGTTTACAAAAATTAAAAAAGTATCTCCAGCACAAAGTATTTATGATAGTAGGGTATGTGGATAAGGTCAGCTAATTGACCAAAATTATGTTATCGGGAAAACAGGCCTTCAGTTCGACTTATCAAGGCGAACTTTACAAATTCATCAGATCATAAAAGTAGGGGTTACAAAAATACTCAACTCAACAGCGAGTGGAAAAACGATTGGGTGGGTGGTAAGTGGGAAATGGGAATTGGGGATCGAAAATTCGGGATCAGCTTTTCCGGCTGCTCCTTTAGGCACGCAGGGCCACAAACTGTTGGAACACCTCCAATATGTGGGTGTCCAGGTCGGATGTGAAAAGCAGCGTTTCCAGTGTGCTGCTGTACTTCTGAACTTGTTCATGATGCTAAACGAAAGATTCCAGTTAATCGGATAGGGTAATTCTCGAGAATTAATAACTTACCATGAGGAAGACCTGCTGCAGTCGACCAATGGTCCACCGATACCAATCTGTGTCCGGATCCCGACCGTCCGTGTCGGAGCGCAGCAGGTGCTCCGAGAGAATCATGATGAATCTCTGGAAGACGATCAGGAACAGACGCTTTTGGTTCACATTCGCCGCCTCCAATTTCTCCTCCATGCGTTCAACAACCTGACATAGGTGCGAAAATTAATTTTAGAGAGTGAACATGAATATTTTAGGATTATTTCAAGATGCCATGTTGATAATCACATGGTTATTTTTGATTATTAGTTAGACTCACCTCCTCAGAAGGTTTGTCGGCATGTGTGATGGGCTTCTTCCGTTTATGCGAGGAATCATCCTCCGAATCGCTGGACGACGAGTCCGCCTTCGCAAGCTTTTCCTTGGCCTCGCTTAATTCCGAATCTGAGGAAAATAATTTAATGATTAAGATAAGCCATCTCTAAAAGCAACTGAAAAACTCACTCAGCTTGATCACATGCTTGTTCATCTTCTTGATGGTCAAGTGGAGGATTTCCCAGAGATACATTTTGGTGAACTCGCCGGTCATCTCCTTCGAGAAGATCCACGTGGCCACCGCCGAACAGTCGACGATCTGCAGCTTGAGCAGCTTGTCGATTAGGACCACCATCATCTGCTGGTGCGAGGACCACAGCTCGAAGATGTTGTGCAGGATGCAGATCTGCGCCTCCTCCGTTTCGGCCAGGGCACGAAACACCGAGTGGAACTTGGAGATGGCCGCAAAGCTGTGCGAGAACGACTTGGAGCCCAAATTGAGCAGCGTCTGGACAAACACATCGATCTTGAGGGCATTGAAGCTGCCATCGGACATCTCCTCGCCGCTGTAGCTGCTGCTCGGGATGTCCTTCAGGATGTTGACCACCTCCTCGGGCGTGCACTTCTGCCGGATGGCCACCACCAGCTGATGGGCCACCGTTGTCCCCGGCAGACTTGCTGTTTGGGCGGAGGAGAGATTCAGTGAGGAAATGATTCAGATAATTTGTTTACAAGGTAGTGCGTTTGGGTTTTTAGGGTATATTCGTTTTGCGATTCGGTTAGGGTGTAATAATTTACTAAACCTTATTAAACTATACTTCAACCCAACAATAATATGCCACACTCAAGTTTCTTATACCTTTTTAATGGCACTCCATGATTATAATGGTTTCTGATATTGCTATCTCATTCTAATTCAATACTCGGCAGTTTTAGTCAGTAATTTGTACTTCTTTAAAGATTGTTGAAAACTTTAATGTGTTACATTTACAGATAGTATAACTATTATTTCTTTGGCAGATTTTACTTGGTATCAAATATTAAGTTAATATTTTTTTTAACCCAAGATTCACCTAGATTATTCACCTAGAAACGTTTAAGAAATTTGCGGATATCTTTATTTCAAAGGAAACACTACTATTTTATTTATACTCCCTCGTAATATTTGCTCTTTGTTGAAGCACCCGCTAGTCGATAGGCTTCCTACAAATTCGATTCCTAGTTAGGTGACACTTTCGTTGCAATTCGCATTTCATTGCTTGGTTATGTGGTTCATGGCGTGGAACCAAGCGGCACCACTCCGCACACACAGCCACATCCACGTCCAAATCCAGGTGTACAACATCACCGAATAAATCCACCTGCGCGGTGCGTTACTAATGACGGTTGTGCTCCAGCTCAGCCGAACCACCTTCCCCCAGCCGAATTCCCTCTTCGCCCCGATTACATGCAGTTTATTGGCACTTACGTCAATTATGTCAAAGTGGAGATCGGATCGGGAAGGGTTTCTCTTCAGGCAGCGGAGGAGCTAATTAAACGGCCATTTGGCAAGCCAATGTATTGGCAAATACGCAATTCATTTGCCCAATCCATTAATAGGTGGGAATTTAAGGTAGGGATAATAAATTAACTACGAATTATTGGACAAATTTAGTTACCCACCTTATAGGAAAAAGGTTTAATATTTAGGTTTTAAAAAACCTACGAATTCAAAATAGTGCCAAGAATTAACAAATGCGTCAATAATTTTCTATATTTTATAATAGCTTGGAAATTATTCATATTAAATCTACATCACTTTATAAACCATATCTTAAAATGATTTTAGATAAGGCAAACTTTGGTGGGAGTAAAACGAAACTAAGTCCCTAATTTTTTTAAGCCGTTCTTGAAAACCTTCCTATAAGCAGCATTAACCTTTGCTTGAAAACCCAAAAAGATCCAACGATCTCTAGACAATGTCAATGGTTTGGGAGTTAGCGTGTGTCAAGATCATGCGATAGTTTTTGTTTTGCAGGCAATGGAAAAATTCGCACATATTCGGGGCTCATAATATAATAACAGCTTATGTGAGCGGTGGTGGCGGTTCGTTCCCCCCAAACACCCCGACTATCCATTCCATCGCCTCCAAATAACTTCACTTAAAGCCAGAATTAAAGATGTTTTCACGGGAATCAGCTTTCAGCTCAAATTGAGCGTATCCAAAGGGGGAAGTACTTTCGTAGTTCAATGTTGACGACGGGGCTTATCAGCCCCAGATCATGTCGGAATCTCGGATTCGGATTCGGAACAGGAAAGACGAGATAACCCTAGAGCAAGGTGAAATCGCCACATGGAACCGCCAGAAGAGAACTCCAAAACAAGGGATTTCCAAGAGGTGGGGTTCGTCGTCGAAAGGGAAACTCCAGCCAAGCGAGCCACAACTCATATCTCAATGGAAATCTAAGGTAGAGTTTGGGCTTAAATGGAGGCTATAGCCAAAATGAAATCAAACTCAAGAAGCACAAAAAGATCCGAGGCATTATAGTGGAATATGTAATACCCTCTGGTGTATTAACAGCCTTACATTGAATCGACTCCATTAAGAATTTAGTATTTTTCTGTGTTTCAAAATATAAATGTTTGGTCGCTAATATAGTGTATTTTAGTTTTTTTAAATTCTTAATCAATGTAAAAGTATTTTAAAAGACTCCTTAATTTTTCAAGAATGTACATTTTGACATGTAAATCCAGTATTTGAAATATGCTTTAAAACATCGATATTACCTATTTATTATTATTCCAAATATTCAACATAGCCATATGATGACATATGATAATTCTTCCAGATGGTTTTTAATTGGGAAGTTTTTAAAAAGCGTGGCAAACATTTGAAATATGACCAACTTCCCAGTGGCTTTTAGAGACAGCCATTGTTTAGGAGGGTATCCAGCCGTGCTCCACATCCACACACATGTGGATGGGTGGGTTAGTGTTGCATAAATGCCTCCGATTCCGATTCCGCCGACTCCAGCTGCGACTCCAACTTCTTTGGGCTATGGACTATGCAAAAAGCCAAAGCAAAACACACACATGTCGGCTGCAGATTGCGCAAAAGCCATCGCTTGGCTGCCTCAACGAAAGCAGCTTCGAGTTGGATGGCTGGTGGAGGGATGGAGTTCGCTGATGGCCACAGAAGCTACCGAAGCCACAGCTCCAGACGACATCGTGGATTATTAGCGAGCGCAACTGGCGGACGCCTTTCAGTCGCGATTTCAAGCGCGCGCAGCTCAAACGCATCTGAAAATCTTCCGCACTCGCTTTTTGTTTTCTGTGACTTCTTTGTGTTTTGTGTTGATATTTATTTTGATGAGTGAGCCCAGACAATGAGGAATCTTTGCTGGCTACTTGCTGTCCCCATGGCAATCGTAAGTTGGCGGACCGCATTTAAAAGTGCCGGAGATAAAAGGGCTTTCCCAAGTATTTACGAAGTTACACATATGTTTTCAAAAAAGATGGTTTTTTTTTTCAAAATTTTAACAATACTTGTGTAATTATTGTGTAATTATAAATTTGTAGAATTCATTAACCAGCAAACTGTATTTTAAATGTTTGTTTTTAAGACACTTCAAAAATACGTGTGCTCAAAAAATACCATTTTGCTGTGTAAAAAAATTGTTGTTAATTGATTTAATAATATGGTTGCATTATATTAAATAACTATAGGTGCAACTTTTGAAATATTTATAAAGGGTGATTAATAGAAAAGGGTTAACAGCTATTTAAAAGGATATTTTCACACAAACTCGTAGAACTTTTATCAAAGTATTTGCCTTGATCTCCCATGTTTCAAGCTGCCCTTGGGCTGTGCCATTGTGGGTGCAGGACGGGATCTCCTGCTGACGCCGAAGCAAGGACATCAGCTGAAGGGCAAGCGGATTTTCTACGAGGAGCCGACGGAGGAGCGGGCCCAGAACCAGAGGCGTGGTCCCCTCGAGCGTCCCTGGGAACGAACCCTGAAGCACGTGACCTATGTGACGCTCTTCACGGACGCGGCGCTGGGCGCAGCAGCTGGGAATATGAGGTAGGTTGGGCTATTCGGCTCCACATATCCTTTGCCCGCTTATGGTAAATTCCATGCAGCCAGCTGCAGGAGTACCACGACTTCCTGCAGACGCCCTATGTCCCAGCGGATGGCCACGCGGGATCTCCAGCTGGAGGAGCGCCGTCCGCGCGCTTCGGTGATATCGTAACCCTGGCGAAGGGCTATTTGGAGCAGCTGCCGGGACCGGGAAACGCATCCTTCCGCTTCCTGGAGGGCGGCACTTGCTTCCAACTCAAGTGCCCCACCTTGAATCCCAACCAGCGGCGGGCTCTGTGGCAGGTGCAGCGCATTCGCCATCGGGACGGCGACAAGGGGCGCCACTACCACTACGAGATGAAGTTCAGTGTGACGCCGCTGGAGTCCAAGTCATGGCAGCCGCACCAGCAGATGAGCTACATCCAGAAGGAGTCCGATTATCCGGCGAGTTTCGGGCGATTGACACACGACCAGGGCTTTGCCCAAAGGCGCCAGGATCGGGAGAGATATGCAGCAGCAGCATCAGGAGCTGTGGGCGGGAATGGGGAGCAGTCGCAGGCCACCTTTGTCCACGGCATATTCCAGCCTGCTCCGCCGCCCAAACTCAACATTGGTGAGTACTTAAAGGGGGCGGTGGCCCAAGGGAGTCCCAAGATCGAGCTGTTTCCGGGTCTCTTCAATCTGGGACTGCGTCCCAATTACGTGGCCCCCACCACTTTCCGTCCCAACTATCCGGCGGCATTGAAATTTGGCCCTCATCCGGAATTGGAAAGGTTTCCCAGCCACAATGGAGATCTGGTTAGTGCTGGCATTGGTCCTAGCGAAGTGCCATCCACTCCGGGCGCCGTGACCCATCACTTCCATCACCATTTCTATGTGGCCCCTGGTGCGGGCGATGCCGCACTGCACCCGGAGTTGGGTTACCGCTTGCCCAGCTCCGCTTCTCCTGAACCGACCACTCCGCCAGGCAATCCGGCCTCCAGTTTCTATCCCCGCCATCAGACAGTAAAGTTTCCCAACTCCAACTCGGGCTCCTCGGAATCTCTGGAGGAACAGGAACAAGATTTACTGCTGCGTACGCCGCAGATTTATGGACAGGCCTCCAAATACCAGACGGCCAAACTGCCGCCCTTGCTGATCTATGCAGGCAGCGGTGGTCCCGGCGATGAGGACAAGTCCTTTGTGCAAAGCGAACCGCTGGAGGAGACCGTGTATCGTTATTCCGAACCGGATCCCTTGTATGTGCACCAGAATCCCATCGATGTGCTGCACGACAAGCAGCCTGCGGAAGAGGAGATTGAGAGGGGGCAGGATCAAGAGGAGGAGGGCTACCAGGATGCTGAACCAGAAAGAAACGGGGACCAAAAGCGAGTCGGCAGCTTGAAGCAACCGGAACTGGTCACCACTGCAGCACCTACTACCCCGGCAGCCCCGATTTCCACAACCACTGAGACCACAACCACTGAGAGAGCCACAGTTGTTATCCCCACGACAAGTAGTTCCAGTTTCGTGTCCACCTCCACGCACTTCAGTCCACTGCGCTCCGTAAGTCGCTATAGAACCACTCCCAAGATAACTGCCGGTCGGTCCACCACTACCACCACTTCCACCAGCACGGAACCACCGCTGAGCAAGTGGGCCAAGCGGCGCAAGGAGCAGGACAGCAAGGCCAAGAGCAGTCTGCGGCACGAGGCCTTCATCAGCACCACCTCGAGCACCACGACCACCACACAAATGCCTCCTTTAACAACCACTGCAGCTGCGCCTGCTCTGCCTGCACCTGCACCTGCAGCACCTGCTGCACCCAGGGAAGTGGTGGAGGTGCTCACCCAGAAATCGGTCAGCCGATCGGTGAGCATTAAGGTGGGCGAGAATGGCGAGGAGATACCCATCATTGTGGACGACGAGGAGAACGAGGTGAAGCCAGTACCAAATAAATGATAGCCCACTCTCAAACATAATCCTAAGTGTAAGCCTAGTCGTAAGCAGAGATATTCCCGAAATAAATGCAAGTTATCCGTAGGACTCACCTGCCTCCTCGTTGGCGTACTTGTAGTTCGGCACGGGCGTCATGGGAATCAGTTTGGCGTACGTTGTGGGCATCATCTCCGTAATGCGCTGGTGATACGAAAGGCTGGCGGAACAAGAGCAGTGTATATCAGTGATAAGTGTATATAAAGTGGAGTACAGGGGCAAGTCGATTTCACGGAACTTTAATTTGAAAACTACAACAACTTTTAGAATATAAAAATCGAATAATAGCTTTAAGGCTTTAACTAAAATCAAAAGAAATCAATCAATATACTGTCTTGGCATTGCAATAACCTTAGTTTCGCTAAAATCGACTCCCTGTAAAGACAACAAAAAGGCAATAACCTACCGCAGGCACTTCTGCAGCACCTCCTGGATGAACTTGGGCCGCGGATGCTCGCCGTCGAGGAGCAAGCAGCTGTCCCACTCGTCCCAGGACCACGTGAACTTGAAGTTGCTCAGATGGTAGGAGAACCAATTGACGAACCGGTCGAAGCAGGATGTGTTCATCGAGTCGATGCGCATGAACAGGATCTCGGTGGCCTGGGCCAGCACCTGGGGCAGCGTGGCCGGCTGCAGCTTGCACAGTTCGATCAGGATGGAGCCGTAGCAGATGTCCAGGTAGCGCGGCGTGGGCATGTGGAACAGCTCGGCGAAGATCACTTCGACGATGCAGTACTCCAGGGGGATCTTGTGCTTAAACGGGAAGCTGAGCAGCTGGGCGGCGCAGTCCTTGCGCTCGTGGTGGTACGTCTCGATAATATGGTGCAGATGCTCCTCTATCAAGAAGCGCTCAATGGAATGGGCACCCGGGAGATTGGGCCCATCCGGGCAGTCGGTGTAGTCGAACATGCGGTACACCACCCAGGGCATGGGGTACTCAAAGTTATCATGGTGCGGTGGCGGCACAATCGCCGGTAGATTGTGCTGAAGCGCCTCGCAAAGGATGGAATCGAAGACCAGGTAGGGTCGTGGTATATGCTTCTCCGCCCAGTTGTCCTGTCGCAGCTTGCGTATCTGCGCCCACAGGCAGTCCAGGTACTCCTCCTGCGGATGTGGCGCATCCGAGGACCACACCCTCAGCGCATTATGGTGCTTCTTGGAGCGTTTGTTCAGGTAGACCTCGATCCGGAGCAGCAGCGACTCGAGAGCAGACTCCTTCTTCTCGTAGAGATCACGACCCACCCAGGGCAACGTGGACAGCACGGCGAAGACGAACCAGTCGCGGCGCACCTGCGGCACTGTGTCCTCATTGGAGACATCGATCATGGTGTCCAGCAGCTGGAGCAAACTGGTGGCCGAAATGACGTGGCAGTTCACCAGATCTGCGAGGAAGCGCAGCGAATAGCGAGCCGCATCCCAGCGGCACAGTTTCAGGGATTCCTTGAACGTCTTCACCATGTGGTCCACGAACTCGCCGCCAAACTTGTAGTTCTTGGCGTTGAGGAGACCCACTAGGGTGGTGTATACGGTGCACTTTTCGGGCATTCGCACTGCGCAGTCGGATAGGATGCGAAGGATCTTCAGGCGAAAGGTGCCCAGATCGGCCTCCAGCACCGAAACGAGTCCTTCCAGGTTGGACTCCACGGAGGAGGTGCTCCGTTCACCCACTCGCAGGATCAGGGACTCCAGACGATCCTCGATCTCCTGGTTTTCCGACACCCTCCTGCGCTTGTTGCGCCGGTGATCTGGAAAGGATTCGCCAGGAAATAAGTATTCATTTTGGGTATATTTCGCTGTTCACTTACCATATCCCTCATCCTCCGTATCATGGGCTCTCCTGCGACTCATCTTTTCTGGGATTTGTGGCGAACTTCTGGTCCAATTTCAATTGAAAGTTCAAAACGCGGAGGAGCGTTTTTCTTGGCCACCGGCAAATGAGGATATCTCTTGGTCTGGACTTTTTCCGGTATTCTGGCGAGGATTCGTCTGGATGGAAGTCCGTGCCGGCTCGTCTTGTCGTCTGTCGGGATCTCCAAATTCCGTGCCAACTTTCGAAACACTTTGTGTCAATTTTCACCAAAAAACGCGATGCTTCTTTTTTGCCAGAAACGATTGGCGGGTTTATCGATAACAGCGGTGACCGGCGATGGCATTCTGCACAGGGGCTTATCGGTAAGGGGGTTGTGTATCGATAGACCCTGTTTTATGAGAGCGTATGCATAATATATAGATACATTTTTCATTGTATTTTAACAGAAAATATCAACATCAATTTCATATATGATTTGTTAAAAAATAAGTTGTTTCCTTGAAAACATTTTCCCAAGACCATCCGCGGTCTCACTGGCACCATCGATAGATTTGTACATTTTGTCCATTAATAAAAAATGAAATTAACAACATTATATAACAACATAGAAAACAAATCACTCAGTATCACAACAAAAGGAAGAAAAGATTTAAAGAAATGTTTATAACAACAAAGGATGATGTCTGATAGAGCCAAACTATCGATGTATCGATAGTGCCATCGATGTTTTGATTCGGTTTAGCCCCACCTATTTTTTTTTTTGGGTGTGTGCGACTTGCATTTGTTTACGCTTCTTAAAATCCACAGAAAAGATACTGCTCCGCTCCAACTGTTATCCCCGAGAATCAGGACAAGGACAGCAGCATGCGCGAACTTAACAAGCAGCAGTCGCAGGACACCACGGACTCTGGTGTCGAGAAGGGAGATTACCCGCGAGCCACAAGTAAGTGACGCACCCGAGCATGCGGGCTGACCTGGAATTGCATCCATTCCGAATGTTTACTACTAAATCCCCACTCTGTCCGCAGACGGCGTTGTCTTTGGGGCCATCGTCGCCTTCGCGAGCTTCTTCGTGCTGATGATGTCCTTCTGCTCGCCGTACTGGATCGAGTCCTACGAGGAGACGCGGTCAAGCTTCAAGAACATGGGTCTTTGGCAGTACTGCTTCAAGGACTTTGTGTACCCCAAGTACCAGTTTCCTAAGCAGTTCACCGGCTGCCACAACATCTTCTCGCACGTGAGGACAGGCGTAGCAATGCCCTGGGCTGCAAATCAATTACATTTTCTTCCGCCCACAGGACTACTACGTTATCCGTGAGTACCTGTTACCCGGCTGGCTGATGGCGGTGCAGGGCTTCGTGACCATGTCCTTCATCATCGTGTTTCTCGTGCTGGTCCTGCTTTCGCTGACCATCATCCGCCTTCCGCTGAAGCCCGTGCTGCAGTACGAGTGGCTGCTCGTCCGCCTCTCCTATTTGGGCACCGCTGTCTCCTGTACGTATTCCCAATATCGATCCAGTTTCCCTTCGCTTAGTACCAGCTAAATACCAATATCCCACAGCTCTGTTCATGTTTCTGGCCGTGTGCATCTTCGGGGGCTGCGCCTACCGCCGCGACTGGTTAATGTACCCCAAGTTCAACGTGCTGGGCTGGTCCTACGCCCTGGCCGTGGTCACCTTTATACTCCTTGGACTGGCCGCCCTGATTCTGCAGCGCGAAGCCCGGCAGGCCTACGAGGCTCGCGGCGAGCAAAAGAACCTGGTCATGCAGATGGAAATGCAGGAGCCGGGCTACCAGCCGCCTCGCCACCACCACAGCCAGTCGCGCAGCCTGCAGGGCTACATATAAAAGCTGGCCCACCTGACAGCTCGCAGCTGGATAAATGCATTCCACTCTACTTGGATCCCTAGTTTAAGTTTCCCCAAGCAATCTCGAGTTTTCTAACTTCGCATTCGACGCCGTCCAAAGTGCCTTCAACGCTCCCCAGACTTTAACCATCAAATATATACATATTTATACACTCCGAACTCCGACCAGTGCTTAATGCTGCGGACTCGACCCGTCTCCATTTATACTAGATACATTGTAATTGTATTAAAGAGCACACAGTTAAAAATAAGATCAATACGTTTTTGAGCCCGATTTGAGCTTGTTCTAAGATCCATTTTATATTGCATCTTAAAATGATCATTTTTATGTAGGCTTAAACTATTCATATAGTAAAACATTTTGTAATTCACATTTATCAGCAAACTGGTGTGAAGACATGTCAACATTAAATTTTACGTGTTGTTTGAACTTTCAGATCAGTTTGATCATCTTTTCATATCATTTTTTTCCGTGCGACCCCCAAATAGCTAGTTCCCAATAATGAAGTTTGTGTGAGATCTGCGCCTAATATGTTTATGTTAGCCTTATCGAACTGATAGCAAACGCGCTGATTGCCAATTGTTAGTCTTGTCTCGCTGCTCCCAGCTTCGAGACTTCGGTTCCGACTGCGGTTCTTCAGTCAGTTTCGTGCGCTGACACAACTCCGTTCCCACTTACCTGATTTGCGATGACTCGGCGGAGCTGGTTGCTGGGCTGGACCTGCATTACTTTCTGGATGCTCTCCTGTAGGACGGAGCTAATTGGGCTACAAAATGATCTTCAGCAGCAGCCGCGCATTATCAATGGAAGCGTGGCCAGGGCGGACGAAACACGCCACCTGGTCTCCATTCGCCTCCTGAGGCACGACAATAACTTCGGCAGTGGCCACATCTGCGGTGGGGCGCTGATCGCGCCCAGGAAAGTCCTGACCGCGGCCCATTGTCTGTATAAGTGAGTAGTGTCCCCGAGTGGTGGCTTGTTCCCTTCTGATCGGACTGATGCCTGCAGCAACCAGAGGAAGCGCTATCGGCGGGCCAGTGAGTTTGTCGTGGTCTTAGGCACCCTGAACCGCTTTGAACGCCGCAATGGGACCATCGTGTCCCAGGTAAGCTCCATGGCCTATATGCACACCTTTAGCCCGGACAGCATGCGCGACGACGTGGGCATCCTCTTCCTCCGCACCGGGCTGCTCTCCGACGGCGTCCACCTCACCGTGGCGCCCATCCAGCTGGCGGGACAGGTCACGCCCTCCGGCAGGCTGTGCCAGGTGGCTGGTTGGGGACGGACGGAGCAGGTGAGTAAGAGTTCTAATAGGACAACTTTTTCAACTTTTTTTGCTTTACTTTTATAAAAAAAAAAAAAAAAATTGAGATTGATAATTTTTTTTTTGTAAAGTAGTTTCTTATTTATCAATTGGCATCCAAATGCCACTTAATTACAATTTTCCCTGCTGTTTTCCCAGAGTTCTCTTTCCAACATCCTGCTGACCGCCAACGTGAGCACCATCCGGCTGCAGACTTGCCGGATGATTTACAAGTCCGGCCTGCTTCCGGGAATGATGTGCGCCGGGCGGTTGCAGGGCGGCACTGACTCCTGCCAGGGCGACTCGGGCGGTCCGTTGGTGCACGAGGGCCGACTCGTGGGAGTGGTTTCCTGGGGCTACGGATGCGCGGAACCGGGCTTACCAGGCGTCTACGTGGACGTCCAGTACTACCGCCAGTGGATCGAGGAACGCAGTGGGGCTCCGAGCTGCAGTCTATCCTCCAGCCTGCTTATACTGATGCTGTGCTTTGTGGTCGCAGTCGGAAACCCCTAAGTTCGGGATTAGTTGTAATGCTGTATACCTTAACTAAGTGTTTATTAATACTTTTGCTCTGAATCTGTTCTTATTATATAACAATATAACACTAAGTCACAGCATAGAATGTCCAAAAATAATATCATACGAACTATACTATATAACTACATAACTTCCGAACTAGTGATTTAAAGATATTTCTCTTAAGATATTCTAGTGTATGCACAACTAGTACATACCAAGCTGCGGAGTTTCACAAGATTCGGGTAATTGTAACGACATCGCGTTATTATCGAGGAACGTACAGGTCTCCCACGGTTGGATCTACCGAATTTAGCCCACCCGTAGACCGCCTGAATAAAACCCTCTCCAGGGGCTCTTTTACTTAACAATCAACATTTATTTACAGCGAAACACACTTAGAACCGGAAACAAGAGTCAAGAAACAACGCGGGGTGGGATCGGTTTTGGGGCCTAACAGTTGCGGCAGTTCCGACGCGGAGAGGGCTCCTCCCGCCGGTCGTGGAGGCGCAGCGGCTCCGTCTGCCCGTAGGCGATGTTCGGCAGGCAGCGGGACTGGGTGAGCAGGAGGGAGAACTCCCGGTTGCAGGCCGCGTTCTCGATACGCTCCATGACACGGCCCACCAGCAACTCGACGGCCTCCTTGACGTTGGCCCCAGTGCAGGCGCTCGTCTCTATGTAGGGCAGTCTGTAGCGCCGGCAGAGGGCCGCCACCTGATCCCGACTCACTACGCGCAGCTGCAGCAGGTCGGACTTGTTGCCGCAGAGCACCACGTCCGGGTCCTCCGAGTAGGCGTGCGTCCGCAGCTGCGACAGCCAGTTGGCCGTCTCCAGGAAGCTCTTCTCGCTGGTCAGGTCGAAGATGAGAAGGAAGCCCATGGCGTCGCGGTAGAAGGCCGTGGTCAGCGAGCGGAAGCGCTCCTGCCCAGCGGTGTCCCAGATCTGAAGGTGGATACGGTGTCGACGTCCGCGGGAGTTGTACAACTGCAGGGTGTAGAGTGGTTATGCAAAGAGGAAAACTATATACTATAGAAGGGTTATTTAAAGTCAGAGTCGGAACATTGGCTGATAGTACATTGAATCTGTTTCATTTCACTGGCTTTTTTCTTTTCAGTTTTGTTCCTAGTTTTATCTTTTCAGAAAATAATTCAGTTATTTTCGATATGCATTTTTAAACTGGTTTACAATTTTGGAGTCTAATTTGATTATGGGTTTCCGTCCAATAAAAAACAATTAGCAACAAATTTTTGAGTTTGTAAAAATTGAAATCCTTGTGGATTTTTACAGTGTGAAAATAGTGAAATTTAGTGAACAAAAGACATAAACTTGACTTTAATTTAATGATTTCGGAACAAACCCGTTGATATGTAAAACCTTTTGATGATGTGATTGCTAAAGCCGATGAAATAAATATAAGAGATGCAATTGGACTTAAAGCCGGTGAACGGGGGTCACTCCACTTACCAGTCGCTTCTCGCGGAAGTCGATGCCTACGGTAGAGATGAACTGGGTGTGGAACCGGCCATCCGTGTACTGGTAGAGGAGGCAGGTCTTACCCACGCCGGAGTCGCCCAGGACCAGGAACTTCAGCAGGTAGTCGTAGTCGATGTTGGTGCCCGTCATTCTGGTATTTCTGAGCGGGTTCGTTTAGGACAGCAGAGGCATCTCGCCCGCCTGGAAGCACGGAATCAAATGAGCGGCCTGTGGAGCTTTCCCCAACCAAGGTCCCCCGCTTGTCCTTCTCCACCTCCTCCTTCTTCCTCTCCCACTCCGCGTAAGCCCGGGCTTAGAGTGACAGGGACGGGGAAGGGCATTCAAGTCGAGAGGCATCTTCATAAGCGTGGCCCCCACCCACTTCCATCCCCAATAATACCCCAAACGCTTACCCGCCCATACACACACATCTCCCCACACCGTGGCAAATATTTGAAACTCATTAAATCCCGATTTATTGATTTTCTGTCTCGTTCTTGCCAAAATTTTGTGTTTTGTTGAATAGGTTCAAGAGGAGGCGGAGAATACCTTTTTTTGGGCGCCTTTTGAGGGGTTTCTACATCAAAGGACCGTTGGATAACGCAACAATCTGATCGAGACTTCAAGTATTCCCGTTGGAAGCATCTAAAACTGTATGCCATGCAAGACAAAGTGAATGTTTTGGAAAATAGTAAAAGCACCGCGAGAAGAACAATGGGGGACTGGGGCTCAAAAAGCAGACCGGTAATGTGCTGAAAGTGGCTCTGGCACCTTCCCCGCAAGTTTAACTAAATTTCTTTAAAATTGGATCACGGGGGAGTGGGATGAAAGCAACATGCTGCTTCTTCGCCAGCTGGCTTCCCCCTTGCGCTAAGCGGATTACGGACTCCGTCTGCGGTTTGACGTTGCTAGACAACAGACCTCTCCCTCTCGCCTTTCCCATTGTAGAGGGAAAACAGAGATCGAAGTACATACATGGTTGAGCAAACGAGAGTAGCTAATAACCAGGAGCACCCACTCTCTAACTGACAGCCACCCCACCCCGCCGCGCACGGCTCTCAATGGAATCCTTTGCTGATGTCTTGTAATCTAATTTCCTTTCGCTTCCGCTTGCTGTCTCCGGCCATCGCCATCTGTCCCCCACATCCGCTCTCGCCCGAAAGAGCAAGCAAAAGTTACAGTTATTTCCTGCTCCAACAGGTACAAGGGGGTGTTTGGGGGCAGAGGGAGATGGGGATGTCGCACGCAGCTATTTCCATCTCGCTCAACCAACGGTTAATTTTAAACCTTTATTGATTCGCAAGATCTTATTGGGCTCAGGTAGGCCCAGTCAATGGAAATAGCCTCCCTTTGGATGCGGGCTTGGATGGTGCGATTGGGTTAGAAAACAGAGCCTGGCAATTAGGGCTACAAGGTCCACATTCAAGGCCGTCATCCTCCAATTAAAGCTGGGACTGCACTGCCGTAATTAGCCGCATACACTTGCAGTGTACGTGTGTGAGTGTGTAGTGTGTGCTGCAGGATTTAAAAATAGTCCCAGGTGAAGCTGCAACCCGCCCCCGCTGCTCTCACCTGTTCACCGGATCCGGCTAATTGCAGAGGCGCGGCACCCATTTCCGCCTCGACGCCTGCCTTTGACTTTGGCGCCCAAGGCTACTCCTTTAGATTTGGCGCTTCAAGGATGCTGAAGTTTTAAGCTGATTAAGCTGGCGGGCAACCGTTATTTTTAGCGCGCGCAATTCGTCTGCCCGGGAGTTCCCCCGACTGCTCTGCCACTTTGATGCCAAATCAAAAACAAATAGGCAGAAAAAGCGCCTAGTGCGAGTTTGGCCTCTCCGAGAACTCGGAGGATTCAGAGGACCTGCTGCGGATGTGAACGCAGAGGATCCTGCGGGCGTTGCGCTGCACGACCTGTTGCCATGCGCTGCCCAGCACAGACTACAAACCGATTTGGCCGCCAAACCAACTGTCGTTTGCCGAGGCACAGCTTTCAGCCAAAGCTTCCTGCCAGCTTTTTGGCCGTCATTAGTGCACGCGGACTTCAAAAGGAAGAAAGGATATTCACGTTTACCAAACATTGACTTGACTTGCTCATGGTTCTTTTGAAGAAGATTCTAAACAGACATCAGCTTGGGCCAGTATGTTTTATTATTTAGCCAGCAAAGGTGTACCTAAATCTACTACATTTTTTGTTTTGTTGTGTTCTATATAATATAAACAAACTTTTGTGAGAGTCAACAAATTACTTTTTATAATAATTTATTTTTACAAGGAAGGTATAAACATTTAACCCAATCTGTGGGCCGAAATCGTTACAGTCAGAAATTTAAGAATTTTAAATGCGCGCGGTCTGGCCATCACTCGATATATATCGTGCAGATACAAAGTGTTGTAAAACACCCTAATTGATTTATTATTTCGATATCATATCAATGACGCCTCATTTGTTCTACCAACGCTAGCTGATATCGATAATTTCGTGTGACTAAGGTGGCGCGAGACAGCTGAAAAATATAAATAAAATTCTATTGTTGATTGTGAACATATAACTCGCTATGGCCAACCTCAACTCAACTTTCGACTGGGACGCCATCAACGTGGGCGACTACCAGTTGGATCACTCCCAAAACTTCTTCGGTGCGTATATAGGCATCTCCGCCGCCAAGCTGAGAAAACGCGCCATATTTGGTCAGTTTTCCCTGACTGATTCCCGCTTTTTCCAGCAGCAGCGGCCAACAAGGAGAACAACAAGCGCTTTAGCAATGTCTCCGATCTGGCCTGCCCCACTCCGCAGAAGATCTCTCGGGAGCAATTCGATGGCGAGATCAAGGTGGTTGTGCCACTCGATATTGGGGAACCCAAGGAAGAGAGCCCAGAAAAGCCTGTAGTAAAAATTGAAACGGAGCCCCAGGAGTCCAAACCGGAGATCCCTGCAGATCCCGATCAAGAGCAGCAGAGCGACACCAAACAGATTATTCCCTTGAGCTGGGACGAGGACGAGAAGCACATGACGGAGGCCGACCAGCATCTGGTCCATCAGGGAGTCCGTCCGCCTGGTGTCGGCTCCAAGCTGCGCTTGGAATGGTCACCCCCACGTCATGGCGAGCACGAAGACGCTGGAGCAGGCACCAAGCACGCCCCCAAAGCTTACCAGTTCAAGGACGTGTACGAGAGCAAGCGGCAGCAGGCGCTGCGCAGACGCTCCGAGGAGGAGAGCAAGGCCCGCCAGTTCCATAGCCGCCCCATGCCCAACTTCAGGGCGATGCACAAGCGCATGGGCGAGCTGGTAGTTACCCACACGATCACCGTTCCCCAGACGCCCGAGACGCTCAAGGACTGGCGGGGGCGGTGCCGGGTCAACCAGGACCAACCGCATCCTGCTGGCACCCGCCCTAAGCCCTTTAACCTGCGCAGTGAGCAGCGGGTGCGCGACCGCCGTGAATTCGATGCCGCCGTGCAGGTCAGCCTGGACCACAAAAAGAAAGAGGTAAATTGTAGTCCTAATAGCCCTTAAGGTCTGGTGTTGGATTTCTTGGTGCGCTAAAAGTGTATGGCCCAATTTAAATTCTCCCCATAAGGAGTATGTGATCATTAAAAAATGTTAAAAAAATAAATGTTAAGTTCTTGTAGTCAGATCGACGAAATCCGTTAGTGAGCTAAGAGAGAGAGAGAGGCAAACAGTTGCGGAATGTTTCCGTTAGCCCCTTTTATCACTCCTGTACTTATGTCAATGAAAAACAATAGAATTTAAATTTAACAGGTCTTTTTTATTTACTGATCAATTTAAAGTTTATAGCTGCGCTAGTATATTACACAGTTTTCATTACTTTTTAATACAAAAAAATAAATACGACTGGTTTTGTTTTTAAGCTATTTAACAGGCTAGAGAATGCACAATTGCAAACAATTTTTAAAAACTGAATTTTTTAAAAACAGCTGGCTAGCAGTTGATCAGAATTGGACAATCGAGCGATTAAGTCGTTTAGGGAATACCCAAAATGTATAACAATTTTAAGTCATTGGCTCTCGCATTATGATAACCGTATCTTACAACGGCCATAGACTCAAGAGTTTCTTAAATTTATTTTTAGATTTCGTCAGAATATATTGATTTATTGTGTGTACTCTTACATTAACTTTCCTCTTATTGAACAAATGTTTTCAATTGTTCTGATTTATAATACTTATTCTCCAATCGTTACGGTTTTTATAAGCCCGCTATTTTACTTTCCGTTCCGTTTAAAATTCGGTGTTTTGGAACACTGAACTGCGGTATATACTTAAGATACTCGTGCGGGCACACTGCTCTCGCAAAATAAATTACTTCGTGTTTAAAAAAAGTTGCCGTTGTGAACCCTACATCGCTTCGAAATCGAAATCCAAGTGCCGAGCAGGCCAGCGGAAACCGTTCAGCACTTCAGTATTTCAGTGCAAGGGAACCTGCCTAACGAACCTAAAACAAACCCGATGAAAACACAGTCGCAGCAGCAACAATAACACGAATGAGAGAACGAGAGAGCTCAGTTTGTTTTTGTTGTTGCCGTGTGAGTGAGTCATGACGTTTCGGACGGCGTAGAAAAAGCCAGTTAATAGTCGTGCATTGCATAAAGCGGGAGCAGCCGGACCTGCATTCCAGGACTTGCAGCGGGATCAGCCATTCGCGGCCAGGATTTGTAACAGCTGCGCCCAGTCCGCACACACACACACGCAGTCGCACTGGAACGGTGGCACCGAGTGTCACACCACACACACCGACACACACACAGCGCCTGTCACAGTCACAGCGTACGCACACAGTCGTAGCAGTCTGTCGTCACAGTTGGCTACCTTTCGATTCGGATTCGGATTAAGACTCGGATTCCGAGTTTGTGAGCAGCAACTTTCGCCGAACCCGCACCACTCCCACAATGGTGGACCGCCTGGTCAACTCCGAGGCCAACACCCGGCGAATCGCTTCCGTGGAGAACTGCTTCGGGAGCTCGGGCGTGCCGCTGGCGATGCAGGGCCGCGTCCTTGTTGGTGAGGGCGTGCTGACCAAGATGTGCCGCAAGCGTCCCAAGTCGCGCCAGTTTTTCCTGTTCAACGACATATTAGTGTACGGAAACATCGTGATCGGCAAGAAGAAGTACAACAAGCAACACATCATGCCGTTGGAGGAGGTCTCGTTGGAATCGATTGCCGACAACCAGGCGTATAGGAATGGCTGGTACATCCGTACCACCACCAAGTCGTTCGTGGTGTTCGCGGCCACCAGCACCGAAAAGCAGGAGTGGATGGCCCACATCAACAAGTGTGTGGAGGATCTGCTGCGTAAGAGCGGCAAAAAGCCAGTGGAGAACCATGCCGCAGTCTGGGTGCCAGACACCGATGCCAGCGTCTGCATGCACTGCAAGAAAACGCAGTTCACCTTCATCCAGCGCCGCCACCACTGCCGCAATTGCGGCGCCGTTGTCTGCGCCGGGTGCTCGGCCAAGAAATTCCTGCTGCCGCAGCAGAGCACCAAGGCGCTGCGCGTCTGCGACGCCTGCTACGAACGCTTGAAGCACGTGCCCATCTCGCTGGCCGCTGGCGAGGACTCAGCCGCCACTGCTGCCGCCTCCGGCAACAAGCTGAATACAACGGCCGGCGACAGCTCCAACGACGAGGACTCTGATGAGGAAACAGCCTCCCCAGGCGGCGAGTCGCACGACGAGCCGCGTTTCTATGGCGACAACAGTGTGCTCTCCGCCGCCGACGACTCCTCGACGATAACCTCACCCTCCTCCGCGGCGGCGGCCAGCAGCTTGGAGGCTCCTCATGTAGTCCCGAACGACCAAAGCTCGCCGGCTGCCGTTGCAACGACGGGCAGCAACTGCTGAGCGGACAGGATAGCAATTGATTATGGTAGATATCCTCAAGCGAACGCTCACCTACTCACAGCACACATCCTTGTACTTCGTAGACTATCTATGTGCGAGTCACCTCAAATGCCCATCAACTAATTCCTAAAGCTATTTAAGGGTTTATTTAAACATTCGACTTGTCCTGCTGCCTTTTAGGCATTTCATCAAGTCCCTCACGGCTACCCTTTCGGAAGCCAAGTTTTAGGGACCTTGATTTTCATGATGTGAAAGTCTAGCATTAAGACAGTTCTCGTGACTGCGACCTTGTCCTGGCTCCCTTTTCGGCGTCTTTTCTTCTTTTCCATGATCCGCAAATTCCGTTTCGCGCGATAATCTTATCAGCCAAGTGCTGCTGCTGCTGTAGCTCTATTTTCCGCTGGCAAACAAACGGGGTGGAGCAGATACTAAGTGGGCTGTGATGTTCCCCGTATCCGCGCACAAGCAGCCCAGCCCCAAGGCCGGCTTATCGGCCTGAAACTCCCGCCGTGACTCAGCGGGAACGGAGCAGCCGATAGGGTTAGATGGTCAGAGGGAGCGTCTCCGGGCAGCGGATGAGTCAAGCGCCACTCATCCCAGCCTCGGCCCGAAGCAAAGGTTGCGTTTCATTGCATGTAACGCCCAGACGTAGTTAGAATGCGATGCAAGTGTCGCTATCAGGGGCCTGTCATCGCTACTGCACTGCACCGATTAAGTCGGGCCAATCTATTACTATGCTAATTCGTAATCATCTCCGCCTTTGCAGCAAGACGAAGAACGGAAGCGTTGCGAGCAGGAGGAGATAAAGGAGATACGCAAGATGACCTTGTTCAAGGCGCGTCCCAATCCATTTAAATAGTGCTCGATGGAACCAGTCGACTACCAAACTTTTGAATACTTGTCCAAATTTGAATGATGTAAAGTCGCTGCTACACATAAACATGTTAATACCGATACATAGTTTTACCATATTGACACAATTATTGTCTCTAACATTATTTTTACATCTATGTTCGATTAAACACCTTTGTTTCCTTTTTTGGCGGATGAGAAACCACTAAAATCTTTAGTTTGGAGGAATTAACTATATGGATATGTATACAATATGAGCAATTTGTAATTGCCATCATTAAGTGTTTTCTATTTGTACAAAGCCGAAAAAAACAATAAATAATACTGTAAATTGAAAACGATGGGTGTATTTTCCATACTCTTCCGAGTGCAACATTAATCAGCTGTCTTTCTCTGTCTAATCCAAGTGTCGTCTCTTTTGAGCATAACTAAATAAGAAAAGGAAAGAAACAGCGTACTAAAAATTGAACCGAAAAAAAATAATTTTTTGGTGATTTAAAAATTGACAATTGAAATTGCGAAAACTAGTGAAGTAAATAACTTCTGTCACGTAACTCTGTTTCAATAATTCATCATAAGGCAGAATCACGTGCTGTTTATATACCGAATATTTGTATGGAAGTGTATATATTATCACTTAACAAAGAAACGATTGCTCATTTTTGAATAAAAACCTTGTCGGGTGCTTACAACTCTGAAAATGCCAGCATCTGAAAATTAATATTAATTGGAACTTAAGTTTACGAAATACACTAAATAAACTAAAGTTTCAAGAAAGGCCCCTTTTTTTTTTGTCACATAAGACCCCATCAATTCAAACACGTGGAGCTTAGACATAAACATATGTTTATTTATGCCGCGACAAAGGCGCCTAACAACATGGGATGCTGGTGGAGTGTCATTTGTGGTCAGATTCCTTAGAACTGGCCGTCGCTGCCCCAAGAGGTCTTGACGGTGTCCTCGTTCCAGTCCTCCACTCCGCCGACAGTTTCGGCGGCCACCTCATCAGCCCAGTTGGTGGTCTCCTCGACCGGGTGGTCGACGGCCTCCTCAATCTTGGGCGGGGGCAGCAGCTCCTTGGCGGCGGCCTCCTCCTTCTCAGCCTCCTCGGGGTCGCGGTAGAAGAACAGGTCGACAACCACGGGCCACTCAACGCTGCGCGAGATGGTGCCGCGCAGACGGAGCACTTCGCGGGCCAGAAGCCACCACATCAGACCGATGGAGTGGGCCGACTTGTTGTTGCACGGAATGGCAATGTCGATGTAGCGCAGCGGCGAATCGGTGTTGGTGAAGGCGATCACGGGGATGTTCACGTAGCTGGCCTCCATGATGGGCTGGTGATCAGTGTTGGGGTCGGTCACCACCAGCAGACGTGGCTCGCGGAAAGCGGGCTGGATCTGGTTGGTGAAGGCACCGGGCGTGAAGCGGCCGGCGATGGGGGTCGTGTCCGTGTACTTGGCGAACTTCAGCACAGCGCGCTGGCCAATGGGACGCGACGAAATGACGAAGACCTGTGGGAGTTTGGGATCATTAATAGACGCTTCGGCAGGCGGAAATGGGGAAAAACTCTAGGGCTCTAAGGCGTGGCTGGTCAGCGGTAAAATTGAAATCATTGAATTTCATACCCGAAAGATTAGTAATAAAATCATCACGATAGCCACGCCGCTCTTGGAGTCTCCTCACCGGAAATATCGACATATACTCACATCAGTGGGGTTGTCAATGGCCACGATGGCACGGGCCGCCAGCTGGAGTTTCTCCCAGGTCTTGCCCAGGTTCAGGATGTTAACGCCATCGGCGCGGCGCTTGTACACGTACTGCTCCATCTGGAAGTTGACGTTCTCCGACCCCAAGTGGGTGGTGGCCACCAACATCTTGGTGATGTCGTCCTCTTTGAGGGACAGAATATCTAGGCCTCCCGACATGTTAACGTAGAAAGAGTTACGGACCTGCGGATCAAGAAACCCGTGTTAGTGCTTCGCCATAACCTCAAGTGCGGGGTTTGCATGTGCGCGAACCCCGTGCGTTCAGAATCTTCAACAACGGCTGATTTGTGCAGGCCGCTTGGATGCGGCTGACATGCCTTTGTCCGCTGTTTGGTTTAAGGTTTTCCATTTTCACTTTAACCAGACCGTCGAAGAGGCCAAATCGGGACATAATGAATACTCACGTCTTGATGCCGCTGGGAGTTTCGAAAAAATGGCCGAATGGACGGCCGGAATGAAGCGAAGTTGGCGCTGGGGAAACCTATGCTTAGTCGATACTATCGCGGTATTTTTAACAGGCACGGTTACACTGTTACGCTTTTCATATATACGATATGGTAGTACTTAAAAAATACTAAAATATTGAAGTAAATTTTATAATTTAAATTATAATTTTAAAAAATATATCACTTAGACCTGCAGCCCGATTCCAGAAAAAATGTGAATCATTTAAATTAAAAATTTAAAACAAAAATATGAAAATTAATTTTTGTGGTGGGAAATTGCTAATAGTTGTCATTTTTAAAACCATTTTTAATGATTAAGATTAAGCAAAACGACATTTTATTGTTGTTTATTATATCCAATTCATTGGTATTTTCAGCTCGAATTAGGAAAAAATGGAGAAACTGATAGAGATGTTGACAAAATGTGTGTTTATTAAATACATAAACCAGTTGATTAGGTAGAGAGGAACTGAACCAATAAATGCTCATCAAAATATTATTGTCTCAAACCAAATAATATTCTTGTGTATTTCCAGAATCAGCGAATTTTAAAAGGTAATCGATGAATATCGGCCAGTGTTGCCTGACACAAGCTCAGTGCTATTCCAGTTTACTGTTGGCGGTTATTTTCAAATAATGGAAACGGATAATTTAATCATACTTTGGTAAGTGACCCAACATTTATATTTTTCGTTATGACGTGGCGTTGCCATCTCGCTTATCACTTCTGACAGAAAATGAAAGACTAGATATTTTGTATACACATTTATTGCAAGTTGGTTTGTTTATATTTTAATTTACGTGTATGCTTCTCGCCATCTGTAACTACCACAACAATGTACGCATATTCCATTTGCTTAGTTTATGTTCGTGAAACGCTTCTTCGCTCGATCCGTTGGCGTGGTTAAAAAATTGGGTCGTGTTAGTAACTTGAAATACGATCAGCCATCGTTCCGTCCCGCTTTCACCTTCGCTGAGGTGTGGACAGGTGTGGGCTCTCACTTATTTCGCTAGTTTTTGCCTAGATTCAGCTTAGATTCAAGTTAACCGGCGCCATCTTCAGAATTCGTTTTTCGTTATGTTCGAGGAGATATCTTTGCGTTTAAAAATTGATTCGTTTTCGATTTATGTTTATGTTTCTTTGGATTCTCCTTTGTTTTTTAATGTTTAACACCTAACAAAATGCACTCGTTAATCGTGTGTACTCCTGTGAGCGTGTTAGTGTGGGTGTCTGGACAGTGTGACTATGTGACGCTCGTCATTCGCACTCGTAACTTAATAACATTAATAATATTTAAAAAAAAACATCTTTTTGTATACATAAACTTTTTTTTGTTTGCTTTTAGTATCATTTGTCGTAATGTTTAGCTTATTTTCTTTGGGTTTAGTTTTAAATTACTAACTACTTATATAATGTAATGTTAACTTGTTTTACTTGTTTTAATTTGTCCGTAAAGGTTTTGTTTTCTCTTCCCTTCCCCTGTTCCCCTGCTGCTCTTCTTCGCCCTCCGTTTAAATACTAAATGGTTGTCTGCAAAATCATTTTCCAGTTTCATGCTTTTCGTTTTGGCTTAGCTTTGGTTTTTGACTCGCTTTGTTTGGTAGTACTCGTATAATAAATCTGAACAATTTGTCTTAAAAAATATATACATATACGTAATAATTAACATTTCGCTTTGTCTTTCATTCGAACCATCCGTAACTTGTGTATAAAATATTTCCACTACAAAAAATCACTCTTTTGCAAATAAAACTCAATAAGTTTCTTTGTTTTCTTGTTTAGCTGTTAACATTGTTTTTGTTGTGTGTCCTTGTGTCGCTCTCGCTGATGTCCAGTTCGTTTGTCACGTGTTGCTCTGGTTGTTGTAGTGGTGTGTTGCTGTTGCAGTTGCCGTCTCGCTCGCCCGCTCTCGCCGTTTTGAACGACGAGTGGTGGCGGGGAACAAATGGGAACCACCCATAATAGTTTAATTAAACAGAGATGGCTTAAACGAAAAGAGTCTCAAAGAAGCACACACACAGCTGAAAAGCCGTGCGTGTTTGGTTGCTGTACTAGTGTGTGTTAAAAGTGGTTTTAGTTGTCACTCCGATTTAAGAGTGTTAGTTAATTTTTGATGTTTATATTTACGTTCTGTGCTTGCTTTGATTATTGGTAATCCTTGCAAGACACTTAGAAGACACACATAAAGAAATACCAACACAATACACGCCTCCGATTCTTCAGTTAGTTCATTATTTACGTCGCGTTTTTAGTTCATGCGTTTAATAGTTTAACCTTTGTACATATTTAATTCGATTTTGAGTTTACTTTAAATCTGATTTAAGCACGTTTTGCTCGCCACAACAACAATGCACATTTATAAATATTCTTTTATCTCTTGTTTAGGTGAGTGTATGGGGTGTGTGCAGGTGGGTGTGAGAGAGAGTGTTTTCATTAACTTTAGGCCACATGCAAGAGAGTCGAACTAGAAAGCGAAAATCTGATTTGGTTTAGATTTTGGCCATGATGAAATGGTGGTGAGCGTTAGGGTGGGGAAAGGTCTCTCTCGGCGAGCAAGCGAAATAAAAGTGAAAGTGAATGAAACAAAAGAACGCTGGCAACAGTTGCCCAGCTAAGCAGAAGGAAGCAACTAAAATGAAGCATCGTAGTTGTGTGGGTATCTCCTAGCGAGATGAAAATTTTGTTTTTCCCCCTTGGTTTTTATTCTTCTTGGGTTTTTTTGTTAGCGGTACATAAGCGATTTCTTTATCAAAATCAGAAAAAAATATAAGTACATACATACATGTATATTCATATGTAAATATTTCTTGTTTCTTGTTCTTTAAATGTATATGTACGTGTATATGCAATAACATTTATATCGTCGTAATCATAGCAAGGTAAATACATATAAATCTGTTAATGTGTATATTTAATAATGGGCGTGGCAACCGGCGCCGCTTTCTCGTCCTGCTTGTATGTTAGCCCTTGCCATACGCTTACTTGATTATGATTTCGTAAATATTTACTATCCAAAAAAAGACAACAAACGAAACAACAATCACAAACAATCAAACGGATTACATACAAACATCCCCAACTCTGGGTTGAATCTACTCCTCTTCTTCCCCTGCTCCTTGTTAACGGTTAACAGTTCAATCGCCAAAAATGTAACGCTTGATCTCCCTAGCTTCTCCTTTTACCTTCTACCTCCTGATCTCCATTAAAACTTATTTTATGAAATACTCGTGCGGCGGCTGCTTTTTGGTTGTTCTTCCCCGTGTGCCGTTAGGTTTAACTGTTGGTTTTACTGTTTTACAATTAGTTTAACTTTATACAATCTTTGGGTTTTCCTAGGCTGAAAATCTAGGTTTCACGTCGTCCTCGATTTTTGAGTGTGTGCGGTTTTCGTGAGGCGCTTTGGGTTCCATTTCGCTATCTCGTATCTCCCTGTCTCTAACTTCCGAAAGCTTTCAGTTTACATTTTATTTGAAACGTTGATTTTGATTAGACGTACTCGCTCTAGGACTGCACTCTGGCTCCAGTAACTCTAAAAACGTTGCTCGATTGCGGGTGTCTGTCTGGTGCAAGAAGCAGCTCCACTTCCAGCCATAAACGCTTCAGAGCACCGTCTCCATCTCGGCGATTTCCGTTTTGTACGACCTGCGATTCATACACATTTGGGGGAGAGAGAGCGGGGAAGGCCCAAGTGTTAGTTGGAGGACTCGGGAAACACATCCGCGTATGCGGGTAAGCTACTGCTACTTTACACAAAGCATGCTAAACAGTACAGCTACAGTTGTGCAGGACATGCGTTGTTGGTTATGCTATTAAGCCTGCCAGCCAATGAAAAATGTGACAAATTGTAATCAGGCTCTCTCGGGATTGGGATGGGTGGTCGGGGTATTGGGGTACTGGCAGTTCCAATGGCCAACAAATACGGATTTGTGTGTCAAGGCGGCGCTGTATTCAGTGTGTGAGGGGGATGCCGGGGAGAATCGAAAACGTTAGCCATAATGGTGGAATGGCAACTTAAACCACGATGGGAATGGGATGGCGAAGGGACTCTGCTTGGGCGGATGGCCAAAGACCTGGGCATCATCAATCAATCAGAGTCCAACGGGGCGAGCACTCAAGGGTTCGTATGTTAATAAATTAGTGCCAAAAAGTAAATGCAAAAAGTGAGGTGTGTGTGCCAGTGATGAGCCCGTGACACGATCGGACAGGTGCTTTATTCCGATAAAGGGGTTTCCCCGGGCATCATTGCTGCCCGCTATCCATCATCAATTCATCAGCTCTCCTGTCACGCCCTGCCAGGCCCAAGCCTTAATTTCGGGTCCCACTTTGAAGAGTTTTCTACGTTTTCCACGTTTTGCTTAACATTTGGGGTGGATCCCGTTGCGTAGTTTAAATTTTGGTTCACTCAACCTAATTCCCTGAAAAGTTTCGTTGTGTCTGTTGTGGTTGGGGAAACTCTGGTTAACATGAAAGCCAAAAGTTAGCACTGGAACCTGAGCCAGAGACTCGCTGGCATCCAAAGCGATGAGCAGCCCTTGGTGTATGCACACATGTGGCCAAGGCTGCTGGATGCTGGGAGAAAGGAAGAGTCCAAACCAAAGTCCTCAATGCAGCATCGGCGGCAAGCATAAGCCGACATAAATAACTTTCCATTCGCAGCGTTGGATAAGTCGTGGCACGCCATAATGCACACAACGGACACCGGAACGGACAAGGGACACGCACAGGGACAGACAATGCAACCGCAGAGAATAACGTTCCACCTGGTCTGCCAAGCCCACCGCTCCATTTTCGCCCCCTAACACCGAACTCGGTCGGCAAAGCTCTCGGACTGTTTACTTGCCAGTAATTAATGAAAATGTCTCTGTGGGGCCGTTGGTGTGACTCCTGAGCATCCATTCCGATACAGTGGACGGGGATTTGAAAACAGTCAAAAAAAACATACCTGAGCTACAGCATCAAAACGTGAAACATGAGCTCACAAAAATAGCACGATGATATTTGAAAAGAGTATGAGAGGATTTTTCCAAAACATGGAGATTAGATTGGTAAAAATTAACAAAATAGCACGTCCTAACTAAGATACTGAATCGGACTTACGTTTTCCTTGAACTAAGGTGCGGTTGTAAGTTCTAAGTAAAACATTTATTTAATTTCAAACCATCAAAACTGAAAATGCTCGATAATGCGGCATCCAAAGTGGCTTTTCAGGCGGATCAGCTTTGAGAATGGCTTAGCATGTATAACCTCAGAGCTATCGTGGTTCTACGCAGATTTATATTCCGAGAGAGGCCCACTGGATGACGGGCACCCCACAGTGGGGCACCACCATGTCGCCCCTAAGCTGTGCAACCGGTGCAGAAACCATCCTGACCCGGAGGTGGCATGCCAGGTGGTGAGGCAGCTCAGATAAAGGCGTTGGCCCCACACAAAACTGTGTTTGCGCTGCTGGGATGAGGATGAACGAGTGAGTGATTGACTGGCCGACTGGCCGACTGGCCGACTGGCCGACTGGCTGACGAGGCGGAAAAGAAGGTGGTGGTGCAGTGGCGAGCTCCCGATGCTGATGGAGATGGAAACGATAATGTGGATGCCTCCTGCCTGCTGCCATTGCTGCCCTGATCCGTTAATTTCTGGTCCTGCTGCCAAGGGGTTGCAGCTGGGACTTTGGACGGCCTGTGTAGGGTCATAAAGCGTTCCTACATCCGATTACCTATCCGGGCCCGACCCATTGTGGACGATATGCAAATGAAAGGGGCCACACAATCCCCTCACAGTCACTTCACACAAAAGCAAAGCTCCTTTGCCACTGCCACTGCCACAGCCACTGAATGACAACAGGAACTGTCGGAAATTGTGCTATAACTAAGACTATAACCAGGGACTGTCTCCCCGCTCTGTGTGTGTGGGCATGGGGACTGGGCCACACACCGCGCCAGAGTCTCTCTGCTGAATCAGAAACCGAGATAAAGTAATTTAATAAAGTCATTTCCATATATTTATATTAGAGCGGAAACCAGAGAAACGCCCCAAGGGAGACATGGGGTGTTGTAGCAGCTGCCCGGCATCATTAGCGTGGCCAGTAACGAGTCCCGTTCCGTTCTGTTCCGTTCTGTTCTGTTCCGGAAAAAAGAACACTGAACCGAGCTGGAATGCTAACTCAAGCAATTGCTTAATTTAATTACTGCCACGGGAGTGGAGGACGTCCAAGGAGGCGGGGGAGGGGGTGCAGGGAGTCGTGCAGGAAAAGGCATGCACAAAGAAAACTTACCACCTGTATAGATCTTGGGCGCTGGCGGCGAGGCTCAGGTTGCCCAGCAGCGGCGGCCGCTCCTTGAGATGATGGTGGTTCAGCAGATCCGATGAGGAGGCCAGCCTGCAAAGGACATGTAGACATGCAAATATACTTGTGATATACATATATCCGCTCCGAGTAGAGAACTCTGAATCCATATTCTATAGATCCCCATCCAAGATGGAACAACAGGTGGAGCACTCACCTCAGCTGCGGCGCCTTGATGCCATGCTTGTCCATGACCTTCTCCAGCTGGCGGACACGCAGGCGAGACATGTCCAGCTCGTGCTTGACCTTCCAGAGGTGCGTGTCGCAGATGGGGTCGTTGCAGCGGTGCTTCTTGAGGATCTCGGTGGCCTCGAAGACGGCGCCACGGAAGGTCAGCGACTTGCCCATGGACAGCGAGATGAGCGCGCAGCAGTGGCCGCCGTCCTTCTTGGCCAGCCGCTTGCGAATGTACTTGAAGTAGACGTGCTCCAGCAGGAGCAGCAGCGCCGCCAGCAGGATGCCGGCCATCAGGAGCAGGAAGGCGGAGAGGAACTGCTCCAGGGCCAGCGGGTCCGAGGACTTGTGCTCCTGCTTGCCCGGCCGGCACGTGCCCGTCATCCAGTAGCGCCGCAGCCGCTCCAGGTCCCCGTTCGCCCGGAACTCGAGCAGCCGTTTGTTGAACATCTGCACGTACTTGGAGTTGCGGCTGAATGCCAGTCCGTAGCCTGCAGCGAAAGGAGGGGCAGAACCGTAAATTACAGCCATCGAGCCGGATCAAATTGCGGGCTTAACTAAAGTGAAAGCGGGGGGAAACCACATAACCACGCTAAAAATGTTCCACAAATTCCTATTCTTCGTTAAGATCAACTCTGAAACACATTTTTTACCCTGCCATCATTTAAATTAAATGTGTAAGTGCAGGGAAGGATAACTTTTCGATTCTATCAAGTATAAAACATTTAAAGTCGTTTTATACAATGTTACATTTTACATTTGCTACCTTTATTGTTTAATTTCAAAGAACAGTTCTTGAAACATATGACAAAAGAGTTAACTCGGATGCTGAAATATTTGATTTTTCTTCGCAAGTTACTAAAAAAGAAAATGCTTTACCCAACTCGAAGTCCGTTAAACCAACGACAATTTAAGCCAGGCTTAAAAGTATTGGTAATGATCTAAGTTGGTGTTGGCAGCAACAGTGAGAAGTGTCGCATTATTTGACAGCCTTCCACGCTTAGTTATTCTAATAGTTTACAAGTGATTGAAGGCTGTGTGTGGCTGCAAATTAATGTAATAAAAACTTTAGCTGTCACCCTAGTTGCCAACAATGAGCAAAGAAGTAAGCAGTTCAAATAAGCACTTACCCGTCATGGCATACCAACTGCCCACGGTCATGAGGCGGCAGTCCTCGTCCTGGGCCACCAGGTAGTCCAGCACAGTGCCGTCGTAGATGAAGGAGTCCAAGTTGCCGTTGAGCACGGCGGCCACTCCGTCGGCCACGCTGGTCTTGTTGTACCTGGGGGAGAATGGCGGTTGGAGACGGATGGTCAGTGGTTAGTGGTCAGTGATCAGTGATCAGGGCCAAGTCCTGGCTAAGCAATCGGAGCCACTCACTGCCGCATGTAGTTGTGCATGACGTTGAAGTACTTGTGGATGGTCGAGTCCGTGTGGCTGTACGGGATGGTGCCGAACTTGAAGGAGGGCTTGTGGGAGAAGGGGTGCACCAGACGACTGTCGTTGAGCCCGCTGAACTCGTGGAACTCCTCCCTGCGGGATAGAGAGTGCGCTCAGAGGTGGAGGGCGGCTTGGAGGACCCCAGCTTACCTGGTTATCATGAAGGCGGCCAGGTTGGCAGTGTATATGGCCAGGAACACGACGGCGAAGAGGGCCCACACGTTGGTCATGAAGCGCGAGGTGAAGCCGCGCGGCGAGTCCACATGGACGGCGGCCTGGAACAGCACGGCCCACACCAGCCAGTAGGTGCGGAACAGGGAGAAGCGGTACGGGGTCACGTTGGTGTTCTGCAGGTACAGCTTCATGTCGTAGCCGCTGGGCGACAGCCACTCGAACAGGAAGATCATGAAGGTGGCCGCCTGGATGGCCACTATGCCCACCTGGGCACGCAGACAGAGCCAAAAGAGAGAGAGAGAGGGAGAGAGGAGCAGGGACACTTACCCGTGAGAAGGCTGAACAGGGGGACAGAAGAGGAGCAAGGCTGCAGTCTCTACTTACCAGCATCCAGGAGGCCGTGTCGAAGGGCTCCAGGAACGCCGTGGGCGAGATGATGCCCGTGCGCTTGGCCACCACGATGGCGATGCCGGTCTCCATGAAGGGCTCGGAGAAGTCGACGACCGCCTCGCGCTCCGTGTTGATCATCAGCGAGGTGAGGACCATGTCCGTCTTGCGGTTGACCAGGTCGGCGATCAGGCCGTTCCACTTGCCATTCTCGAGGGTACCCCATTTACCATCTTCGACCCGCACCAGCTCGTAGGTGAAGCCCAGCTCCTCGGCAAACTTCTCCAGCAGGTCGATGCAGAAGCCGCTGCAGCACTGGTAGAAGGACTCGTTGCGGTGTGCCTGGCCCACGTCGATGTCGGCGGCCATCTCGTGGTCGGCCGCCACCCGGCAGAGCACACCGCGGTCCATCAGGCACTTGCCACTCACCGGGTCCGCGGGCGACAGATTGATATAGGGTGCCTCTTCGAGAAATGTGATCTTCAAATGGAACTTCTCCGGCACGCCCTGGGGCGGGGCGTGCGAGTTGCCGGGCCACGCAATGTCGCGTATGTCCAGCTTCTGCGTCTCCCAGGACTTCCACACTCCAATCTGCCCCAATTGGAGTCGTGGATCGGATCAGGTGTCGAGGTGGTGGCATAAGTACAAAGCGGTGCAAGATCGATTGATCGGTGCGGGATCAGAATGGGTCGTGGAACGTGGAGAGGGGAGAGTGGAGAGTGGAGAGTGAGCGTAAGGAGAGTGGCAAAGTAAGCAAGGATTGAGAAAAGCATGCAACAAAGCCTCCACTTACCTCCTCCCACACGAGGTTCTTGTTGTTGGCGCTGGGCCGGAGGTTCATGATCTTGAGCTCCGCCGAGCGCAGGTCACCGTCTGCCGTGAACTCGATGTTTGGCTTGTTCAGGTCCCCCTCGATGGACACGTTGCGCAAGTACTTGAAAAAGCTAGGGAAGAGACCAAATGCTTAATAGGATATCAGGCCCACCGGCTAGTATTGACTACAAGAAGCTTCGCTATCGTTACAAGGATTGCAATCGTTTTCCGAGTAAGGGCTTAGCCCGCTAAGGGGATATCTAAAATGGTCGATAGATTCGCACCGAATGGGGATGCTGGCATGCAATGCACTGGGAACACCACTCACATTTCTCCGTTGTCCCACCGGCCGCGACCCTCGTCCTCGCAGGACAACGACTGGGTGGTGAGGCGGCGGTCGCGGTTGGCCGGGTCCGTCAGGTAGGCCTCCACGCCGTAGCTGTAGATCTTGATGGCGTTGGAGATCTCGTTCATGAGCGCCGCACTGGAGGTGTCGAAGTGCACGCCGAGCATGCCCACGGGGAACTGGGAGTGGGCGTCCTTCTTCTCGATGACCGACTGGCTGACCACCCACACGTAGTTCTCGCCGGTGAGCTTCATCTCCTCGGCGGCGCGCAGGATGGTGATGGCCTCCGTCTGCGTGGCATAGAGCAGCATCACCCGCGCCTCGCTGTTCACCAGCTCCATGAGGTCGCTGGTCCGCGTGACCACGATCGAGTTGAGGATGGTGAACTTGAAGTGCTCCTGCATCTCGGCCACGCGCTCCCGCACCGCCTGCACGAAGTCGTCGTGGCCGGCTATCTGCGAGGTGACCACCGAGAACTGGTGCCACTTGTAGCGCTCCAGGATGCTCAGCATCGCGGCGCTCTGGTGCTCGATGCTCGGGGCCAGTTGCAGTTGCAGCGTCGACTGCGAGGCCCGCCGCTCCAGGCCCGAGTTGTCGGCGTTCCACGAGATCACCGGGATGCCCAGGTAGCCGGCCAACTGCAGGAAGTACTGCGCGGAGGCCGTGCTGTGCCCGAACTGTTCGTTGTTCATCATGTACAGGATGGCCGACACGTTCACGCGCAGGAACTCCTTGCACAGCGTGCTGAGGATGGCTGTTGGACAGAGAGTCATGTTAGACCAGTGTGTGCTTTTTTTTTTTTTTATTTTTTTTTTTTTTTTTTTAGATTGTTGAACATGCCACACAAGGATGGATTGACAAATTATTTCTAAAGATCCCAAAAAAAGCGGGTAGCGGGTGCTCCATTCTTGGGCAAATCAGGTGTGGTCATAGCCGGTCAAAAGTTACTCAGGATTAATCAGGATAGTAGATTAATATTAGATATTATAGGTGTTAAAGCTGCGGTTGCACTACTTTCTCACCTCGGTAAAAGGTATAACATGGAAATATCGAATCTGTTTTTTTTTATTTTAGTTATAAAGATAACTAGCTTACAAAATTAAATGGACAATTTCTCCAGAGATAAAAGATTTCACAAAAAGTTATTCAATTTAATTTCACCATAGGTATAATTTAATTCTTGCAATGACAGAATTTTATTACCCAAAAAAAACAACAATATTTCAGTATCAAGGGTATAACTGGTATAACGCTGCTGACCTGGGAAACTTCCTTGAATTCTTCCAGTACATTGCCGTCTGAGTTCATTTACATATCTGACCCACTTTGCTCACCCGCTTTCGCTCCAGCTTCTGATCCCACTTCCAATCGAAACCTCAATCTCAGCTCGTGCGTGTCTTGTGTACAGATATGTGGCAATTAATTGCAGATTAGCCACCTTCCGAACTTGTTTTACGATTGGAGTGGGAGAATTTTATTGGATTGCAAGGAGTGTTTGGGTCTGGGGTCCCCAGAATTAGCAGTGGGATGCGGTGTGTGAGGCTGTCGGGAGTAATGACGCGGATTCTTTTCAGTGGCACGCGCCACCGCAAGGACCTACTAGCTAGTCGACCTACTTGAAGGAACAGGATTGGCGTCCTGCCTTTCGAGCTTCAGCGACGTGGCAATTAATTCATATGCAATCTTTTGCTGGCGCTAAAACAACGGGCGCGGGCATGGGTGTCATGACTTTTGAAACCGATGCCATTGTTCGCCAGTGACCAACGACAATATCGAAAGTTTTGTCAGCCAGAAATTGAGGGGAAAGAGCTCTCGGGGAGGCGCCGTAATCGATGACAAGACATTGTCAAGTCCTGGGGAACGTGCGATAACCCCTGTTTGCATGTTCGCCCCTGTAGGACTGTCAGTCTACTGTCAATGTTTTGCCAAAATGTGAAATCTCATCAAAAAGTTTAATTAACTTTTTCATCACTTTACTTCTGCTCTCTGCCCCCTGTCCCCTGCCCCTGCCCCTGCCCTCTGCCCTCTGCCCTCCATCTCTATCAGAAGCAAAGGGACTGTGTGAACGGGGGCAAGGGTCTGCTAATTTTCCTTCCTGCCCCGCCGACTCCTTGCAGTGCCCCTGCATTCAATTACCATTTACATGTCGGGGCTCGCCCGGATGGATTCGTAGCCGCAGATTTGTACATATAGATGCAAAGATACGCAGATAGATGGATAGATGGATAGATGGATAGACAGGGGCATCGGCATCGGCATCGGCATAGGCAGCCGCACTCGGGATGATGGATCGATGGACGATGGGCCAGCGCTTAATTGGAATGCGGAGGGCCAAGGGGGGAGTGGGGAACGCGGACCTTTGTTCGCATTTAAGCGAGAATAGAAATTCACTTAACGGAATTAGGACCGGCCAGGGCTCGACCTCCCCCGACATTTCATTTCGTTTTGATGGACCATTTTTGATTCCTCCCGGGAATTTAATTGCGTGCATTAGGCACCCGGTAATAGCATTACCCAGTGTCGAGCTCCTGGTCCGTGGCCTCGTCCTGTGGCCTCTGCAGGAGACTTTAAATTGACTTTCACTGGCAGTGGAGCCACCAGTGTGTGCGATTATCCCAAGCCCTCAGAAGTGCCTACCTAACATGGCAGGTAATGCGGCGCGCGTTGAGGCAAGCGACACTTTACCAAGGTCGACCGTCCGCCTTTTGCGGGTGTGATGTGGCGGCCCGAAGGACGCCGGAAGTGGTGGCCGAGGAAGTTCAAAATTGCGTTGCCACAAAAGACCGGGCGAAGATGGCTTTTTGTAACGTGAATATTGAATTTTGACACCCCCTCCCATATATTTGACTGCCAAAAGAGAAGGCCCACAGGAGCAGGAACAGGAACAGGAGCAGGAGGATCTGATTGTTATGCCAGAGCAGGAGTCAGCTGACAGCTGTCAGCTGTGACTTGGCTCCGGCTCCGGCTTTGAGTCCCTTCGCATTCGTCCTCGCTCGAGTTTGTCTGCTCTGACAGTAGCCGCGGGGCGGTGGGGTTGGCGAAATGGGGCGTGGATGCCTCCATCAACTTATTATAACATTCATTAATTTCATTTAAGCATCATTCAATTGCCTTCGTTTTTATCGCAAGTTATCGCAAGTTGCCAACATTGCAAGTGATGGAGTGCAGGGCGCTCGTTGGGGAAGGTGCCACGTATGTGTGCCACAGTGCCACAGTGCCACCTCCTGCCGCTCTTGAGCAACTTTTCACATTACGCCCGACGCAGGCAAGTGGAAAAAGAGGCGCTCCGCGTTGGCAGCACATAAATCTATCTGCCCTCGAAAATGTAGCTCAGGCGCACAGGCGAGTCGGCCTGAAGTGGCATAAAGCACAATTAGGAGTCGCAGCTGTCCCAGCACTTTGGTTCGCAATCGATAATGCAGAATTACGCCCGATTCGGAGCTTCGATGCGGGAAGCTGGGTTATCTGGGTTATCTGGGAGTGGAAGTGGAAGTGTGTGGCTGCAGGCTAAAACTGAAACTGAAACCAGCATTGATATCGATGGCAAAGTTTGCTGCTAAGCTTGCGCCCAGCGAATCCGCATCTCGTGCACACAATTAAACATTCTTCGCTATAATTCCGGTCGATTAAGCAATCCCCTTCACTCCCTCCTGTCGCCACCCATCGTGCATTGCGGCATTCGAAAACTAATTGGCATGTCGGATTGGCAGTTTCACACGTATCTTCTTAACAAATGTAGCATATAGTCAATTTCACTCAGATGTGAAGTGTATTTTATTGGGCATATCACCAAAAATGTAGATTGCTTTCTTGCGGGTTGCATAGCTAAATTATGCAGGACAACTAAAGTGTCTCTTGGTTGTATTAGACCGATTGCATTTGTTTGCATGGTGGGTTGCCTTATTCAAGCTAACACTTATGAAAATCATATTGAAAATTTGGCATTACTCTAGTTTATAAATAGTCGATTGCCACGACTCTCAAATACCTGTTACTCTGTTATCCAATTGTTAACAATTAAGCTCCTTATAGACCGAATTTTTTACCCATTTTCATGTTTGTTATTTCTAAGTTTCCGATGAGTTGCCCAAAGGTGACCCACAATTGGACTTATAGATTCCATAACTTTACCAAAAATAATCAGATTTCAAAGTAACACACCTCTAAAGAATTGTGATTGGATTCTATAAAAATCTGCATTCAAAATTTTCATTTTACCGTTGACCGAATTTTTGACCCATTTTCATGTTGGTTATTTCTAAGTTTCCGATGAGTTGCCCAAAGGTGACCCACAATTGGACTTCTAGATTCCATAACTTTACCAAAAATAATCCGATTTCAAAGTGGCATACCTCAAAAGACTTCTGATTGGATTCTCTAAAAATCTGCATTCCAAATTTTCATTTTAGCGTTGACCGAATTTTTGACCCATTTTCATGTTGATTATTTCTAACTTTCCGATGAGTTGCCCAAAGATGACCCACAATTGGACTTCTAGATTCCATAACTTTACCAAAAATAATCCGATTTCAAAGTGGCATACCTCTAAAGACTTGTGATTGGATTCTCTAAAAAACTGCATTCAAAATTTTCATTTTAGCGTTGATCGAATTTTTGACCCATTTTCATGTTGGTTATTTCTAACTTTCCGATGAGTTGCCCAAAGATGACCCACAATTGGACTTCTAGATTCCATAACTTTACCAAAAATAATCCGATTTCAAAGTGGCATACCTCTAAAGACTTGTGATTGGATTCTGTAAAAATCTGCATTCAAAATTTTCATTTTAGCGTTGACCGAATTTTTGACCCATTTTCATGTTGGTTATTTCTAACTTTCCGATGAGTTGCCCAAAGGTGACCCACAATTGGTCTTCTAGATTCCATAACTTTACCAAAAATAATCCGATTTCAAAGTGGCATACCTCTAAAGACTTGATATTGGATTCTCTAAAAATCTGCATTCAAAATTTTCATTTTAGCGTTGACCGAATTTTTGACCCATTTTCATGTTGGTTATTTCTAACTTTCCGATGAGTTGCCCAAAGATGACCCACAATTGGACTTCTAGATTCCATAACTTTACCAAAAATAATCCGATTTCAAAGTGGCATACCTCTAAAGACTTGTGATTGGATTCTGTAAAAATCTGCATTCAAAATTTTCATTTTAGCGTTGATCGAATTTTTGACCCATTTTCATGTTGGTTATTTCTAACTTTCCGATGAGTTGCCCAAAGGTGACCCACAATTGGACTTCTAGATTCCATAACTTTACCAAAAATAATCCGATTTCAAAGTGGCATACCTCTAAAGACTTGTGATTGGATTCTGTAAAAATCTGCATTCAAAATTTTCATTTTAGCGTTGATCGAATTTTTGACCCATTTTCATGTTGGTTATTTCTAACTTTCCGATGAGTTGCCCAAAGGTGACCCACAATTGGTCTTCTAGATTCCATAACTTTACCAAAAATAATCCGATTTCAAAGTGGCATACCTCTAAAGACTTGATATTGGATTCTCTAAAAATCTGCATTCAAAATTTTCATTTTAGCGTTGACCGAATTTTTGACCCATTTTCATGTTGGTTATTTCTAACTTTCCGATGAGTTGCCCAAAGATGACCCACAATTGGACTTCTAGATTCCATAACTTTACCAAAAATAATCCGATTTCAAAGTGGCATACCTCTAAAGACTTGTGATTGGATTCTGTAAAAATCTGCATTCAAAATTTTCATTTTAGCGTTGACC